TTTTACCATCTACATGATATTTCTAATATAACTACAAAATTTCGCAACAATCGGTCCAGTACTTTCGGAGATTATCTGTCTAATAAAAATCCGGTACGGCAGACAGACGGACAGACGGACGGACAGACAGACGGAAATGGGAGACCTATTTCTTCGTCTTCTAGGGGTCATGAAAGATCGAGAAAACGTAAAAGTAGAGACTCGGCCGACGGACTCGATTACAATACTTCCTTTGCTTACGCTCGAGAAGTAAAAAATAATTTTTTTTAAGCCCCTTTTTCATCGTTAGTGCACATTTGTCAAACATACACTGTGTTCTACAGAAATTATATCCGGGCTATATCACTGTTGTACTTTTTGCAGTTTAAGCAAGGCAAATAATTCCACAAAATAGAGTTACTTTTGCTATAAATTTGTCCTTCATTAAGATTTGAGTTAATTATCGCTGAAAATCAAAAACTCGAGAGTGCTGAATAGTTGAGAGATACGTGTGTTTCTGATCAGGGAACACATTGTGGCTTTCCAACTAGCCTACCGATAAGTGCTAAGGAGAACTGCTCATTTTACGTGTTATTAGTGGCAATCTTTATGTCTTCGTTAGGAATTGAGGCCAAGCGGATAATATTCAGAAGGGTTTATGACGTAAATAACAGTTGACAGGTGCGTTTATGCCGGGTTACGATGTGATTATAAGGCATTAGGAAGCACGGTCCGGCCCTGTTCTTATTCCGTAGTGGTAACTTGGGTAGTTTGGCGGACTATCAGCGGTTGTGTTATTTCCGATGGCTATAATGAAACCTTCGGTACGCTTCGCAGCACATCCCATTATCACCGGAATTCTTTATCCTATTGTTATCATGATCCCGGATTATTTAAAGTCTGATGGTCTTATTAATGGCCCACTTTCACCCTCCTTTATGATCATGATCATGCTGTTATTAAATTTGTTTTTATGAAGCTTTGCGTAATAGATATCGAACATGGATGGCTTTCAAATTAGTCCTTTAACACCTTTAATGTAACGTAATTCGCCTGTAATTTTTTAATCTCGTTGGCGAAAATAAAGTCATTACGGGACCCGTTTTGAATTTTCTGTGCGACGCGTATCCGGGACTTTAGAATACAATAAATTTAATTCCGGTGAACTTGGGAGTGTTTAATCCCCCCAAACCATCAATCCTCTGGTGGAGGCAGTCCACAAAGGACGTTTGGCAGGTTTCTTAAGCTTTATTGTTAGTGGACTCGTCTTACTAAGTTTTATTGCAATAGTTTGTTAAGTAACTTGTAAGTTGCCGCACTACTGTTCTTTGCAGGCTTCTCAAGGAAATTTTACGTAAGGCGGTTTTTGCTAAGCTTGGTGCAGAGCGGAATTGCCCGGACTTGTCAAAGTAGTTTAAAATTCTTCTCGAGCAACATCCTTGGATGCAGATACTATTAATAAAATAAATTTATTACTGCAGAATTTAGTTTAGGTTCGTCTAGCGTAAACTCGTCAAATTAATTCAACTACACGTTCTAAACTGGAATGTTCCGGTTTATTCAAATTTGATTATTTTTACTCCCCGAGCGTAAACTAAGAGAAGTATTGCAGTGGCGTCATTTAACAAATGTCTAATTTTATGGTCAACTTGTAGAATACGAAAATATCGATGCCGTTTCCGTCATCTGTCTGCCCACTTGTTGGTCTGTTGGCACTTTTATTAGACATAATCTCCGAAACTACTGAAATGATTACTTACTGTTAGTATTTTTATAATTTGTTTATTCACTCTCATCAAAAACTTGATGATGTCATCACATTTATTTCATTTATCCATATTTTGAGTTACAACCATGCGGATATTTTTTAGTGTAGCAATCGCAAAATACCGCCTAATAATTATATTTATTAGTACGTATGTTTATCCCCTGGAGAACTTTGATATCATCTCAAAAATTTATTGTTAGTATACAGTATTATTAGCGTTTTGATAATGTAGTTTTCTTTTTTTATGCCTAATTGTCTTGGAATATAAGAAGATAAAGAATTAATGACTCAAACAATTTTCTTTTCAGATCAAAACGGCTTATTTTATATTTTTAATAACGACTTTATTTCCCGATGGTAAACTAAGGAAGTATTGTAACAGAATCTATCCCGAGAATCACTATTTTCATGTTCTCGCGACGTGTCATGACTTCTAGAGTATGAAAAATGGGTCTCCCATATCCATCTATCTATTTTTCGTCTAACGTCTATTTGTCGTCTGTCTGTCGTATGTCTGTCGCCTGTGTTGAATACCTTGTAGGTGGTAAAACTCTAACAAAATTTGGTCTAATCAACACCAACAATATAATGACGTCGCCTCAAAATTTTTGCAGTGTAAATGTTATTTAAATGTCATAAAATAATATATTCCCACATGAGTGTTTTTCGCATTTTTTTACAAAAAAAAATACTTATATAGTAAGGACAGTAAGGTCATAAATATAGTTGGTCGTTGATAAAAATATACCCATTTGTCCCCCCTTCAAACAATTGATGACGTTTTCTCGAAATATCCATCTAAAATATGCAAATATTATCAGTTTGATTTATCAATGCATTTATATTTTTAAGAATTGCTAGATGGGGGTGACTCAAAAAGATAAATAAAGCAATTTATTTTATTAAAAAATTGGTGATGTCGCCTCATAATTGTGTTGAGCAACCCCACTTGTGTGTAGAGCGATCTAATTTTTATCTGTGAAACTCTTTAAATCTTGCACCGAAAGCTTTAATACTCCATGTTTTTGGGATCAGCATGATGAAATCAACATCCCAGAATTTTTTGGAAATTTTTGGGCAACTTTTTCAAAAGCAACATTTTTCAAAATGGAAATTTCCAGCAATTTTCGACAATTTTCGAAATTTAACGTTTTCTTATAGATTTCAACCTCCAAATTTAGTTTCGGACTCATTTCATCGATAGCTCTTACCATTTTTCTAAAATCGCCCACTGAAACATTACAGTTTGTAGGATTTAAGAACAAAATATTTTCCACTCCAATATTTTTAATCTTTCACCGGAAGCACAAACAGGCTATATATATATATATATTTAGAATCAGCACGACGAAATCTATAATCTAAAATTGTTTAGGTATTTTTTTGTCAAAAGCAAAATTTTTCGATAAACGTTTTTTACAATTTTCAAAATTTAGCTAAATACTATTTTCTTACAGATATTGAACTCCAGAAGTTAATTTCGAACTCATTTCCTCGATAGCTCCTATCATTTTTCCCAAATTTTTAAATTTTTTGGATTATAAAAAATATTTTCAAACTGAATATTTTTAAATCTTGCAGCGGGCGCATAAATACGTTATGTTTTTGGAATCAACACGACGAAATCTATATTTCAGAATTTTTTAGGATTTTTTTTATCAATTTCTTCAAAAGCAAAAGGTTTCAATACCTTCGACACTTTTCAAATTTCAATTAAAGAAATATAAAGGGTGGATTAAAATTATGAAATAACTTGAAAACTGTGAAATTATGCACAGATTTTATGAGGTTTAAGGTTCATAAACTATATGTTTTTCAAATTCTTACAACCGAGATCCAAAGGCAATACGTCTTCTTTTATAGTATATGGTAAATTTGATGTCACGGAAAGGTACCTTTTCTTCTAAATTCAGTAATGTCTCGTACACGTATGTTTTGTTTTATTTTTATCGAACAAAAAAATGTGTCTCGATTCTATGTCTAACTGTTCACCTTTAAATTTTGGCATGGCAAGTTATAAACGATCCGAATGGTGTTGCTATGTGGTAAATTGAATCTGTAGTTACACAAAGTCAACTTACAATTGACTTGAATGAACTGAATTTTTTACAACAAATGTTCAAAAACTCGCCATTTGTTAATTCATTACAACAAAGTGTTGTGAATTTGTAAATTCATTACAATAAATGCATTGTATAAACAAAACTCCTGAAGAGCTTATTAACACTTTGATAATATAAGGTGTTGTGAAAAATGGAAGCTGGTGGAAATAGTGTCTAAATTTTAGCACCCACGTAGCAACAATAGATCGACAAGCGTCGTGAACTAAATATAAATCTTAAATACAGTATTTTTCTAATTAAGAAATATCAAAACAGATTAAACGCATTGTTTTAAGTAGGTATTTCACTTTATAACACAGATAATCCTTATATACCCGCGATTGCGACTTTTTTAACGAAATTTCACAACACTCGTAGCATTTGCCCTTATTGGATTCTTACAATGGGGTTAAAAGGCAATTGTAGATGTCGCAATGGACTCCTGGTTTTTATCTTTTATAGAGAGCCAAGGTTTATTTTTATGGTTTTATTTTTATACTTAGTAGTAATGTGAGTCATATTTTTTTATTATGTTTGATAAGCTTCTTTAGATGCTGTCTGTAGAGGCTTTATTATTTATTAAATATTATTTGATGCCATAATTCACGTATTTCTACGTCAGGGATTCTTCCATTAGTACGGAATGTTATTTTCGCATTTTACTTGTTTTCACGTTTCACGGGTAGAACTAATGAAAATTGTTTCATAAATTAACTTATTTTCGTCACTCACCATTCTAACTAATAACAATATGAAATTTCAGACAATAGCAGGGTTAGTGAGGATTGTAAAATAACCCAACCTAATTACTTTAGGTGAAAATATAGAAATTAATTGAGAAAAATGAGGGCCACGAAAAAGAAATAAAAAAATATTTACAAAATAGAAGAACATACAATATCACACGTTGTTCCTTTTTTACCTACTGCTCTTGTAAAAATATGTTTTCTGTGAAATATAAATCTTAAATTTTTAACGGGACACAGAAATTAATGAGGTGAATCGTTTTTATTTATTTATTTATTTTTTTTAATTTCAAACGTAAAATTTTGTCCAAGCTTGTAATCGACGTTCTTTAACAACTCGTTGCCTAAAATTTTTCTTTATATATGTTTAACTACTTTCATATTAATTTGGGTTTGAATTTTCAGCTTCAGATGGAGACCTGCCGTTTTCGCCCGTCCTCGGAGTGCTGATCGGAGCCACCGCTACCATAATAATCGTGATCCTATTGGTAATAATAAGAGTTCGAAGATCCCAGAGTCAGCCTGAGTCGACAATAGAACAAAAAGTTGCTGGCGGTCCGCACCACAACACAATGTCCTCCACAAAGCCACTGTTGAGGAGTGCCTCTCCGCGAGACGCGGACGAGAGGGATCCCGATGTAATTCCCGCTAAATACGGTAAAGCTTGCTTTTGTAAAGGCAAAATAAATCTTGGTATAATTTCGTTACTGTATAAATAACGCTTTTGTTAAGCACTGTGTTTACAGCGGTACGCATTACTTCCACTTAAATATTCATTACGTTTTATTCTCTTACAATTTGTACTGATCCGATGCCAGCAGCTATTTGCATTTTTATAAAAGATACACGATGAGAGCAAAAAATTACAAATTTATTTTGTTGCGGAGCTGTGGAAGCTTATTTAAGCGTGTGGAGGGTGGAGTTTAAAAGATTAAAGAACATTCATAAATGAAAAGTAGGACGGCAGTATTGTTGGTATGAAAAATATGCATATTTTGTGCCATTTGCATAAGCCCCATATGTGGTAATATATTCTGGTTTACCGTGTAGTGAGGAAAAAATTACAAAATTTACGGATTTTGTTAGCTCAAATGTTTTAATTTGGCTAGAAAACCAACGAAGAGTGGGTTGTTTTACACGTTTTTACACAGCAAAAAAAAGAAACAACATTATGGATAGTTAGTTATTTCTGTTCTGCTCCGCTTATTTCAACAATAACAAATTCAAAGCAGGGAAAGCTTTTTTCACTGTTTTTGTTGCTTATTTATTGTTTCATTCACGTGCTGAAGAACGTTATTAAAGGTTTTTTGCGGTAACTAAAATTTTACTTGTATGTCAAGTGAAGAGGAAAATGTACGTTTCATAACTTGTCAGTCCAATTTTAATAATACGTTTGTTGTACGCAAGTGGTGGCAATAACAATTTTTTCTGGTTGTTCTTCTCTCTGAACTTATTTTATTTAATGTATTAAAAAATAGAGACTCTACAGTTCTTCCAGCTGTAGTAAACATGGTGTTTGCTTTAAAGCTAAATCGAAATCATCCTTTTCCATGACCCACTTACTTCCAAAGGTAACGTTTTTCTTTCCTTCATAGTTCGATCCTTTTGTTTTTCCATCGTTTTTTCTCTACTATTTTTTGATAAAATGACAACATCTAACAACAGGAATTTCGCTTCATCTTTTGGTAGTGTTAACCTTTAAAACTAAACTTTAGGAAAGGTAGTTCTGATTTTTTCTATAATAACCTCAGGTGAAATTGTATTTGCTCTTCAACCGATGTCAATTTTTCCAACTTGGTTTTTACTCTAAGAGTGTGAGCCTTTTCAGTTCAAATAAATACGAACAATTATCTGACTGCACTTTATTAGGTCACTTTGTAAATTAATATAATTTTTATTTCCATGTTTATTGATTAATTTTATTTCCAAGTCAATTGTTAACATATTCTCAACCTGCCAATAGATTTTCTTAATCTTCAACTTCAGGCAAAAATTACTAACGATATTGCTTGTGTATATTTAGAAAGTTTATTTCTAGCTGTATATGGTTATACTCTTTTCAATTGCCCAGCTTAAACTAAGGAAATATTGTAACAATGCTATTTAACGAACACCTAATATCAAGTTTTGTCGGAGTGTTATACCTCTTAGAATATAGAAAAATGGGTACCCCATTCCGTCTGTCTATCTATTGGTGAGTTCATCGAACAAGTAATGTTTAAAACTTTGGAACAGTTCCTGTAACATTCCAAGTGTTCTTTAGGTTTACTGTGGAAATGCTAAAACGCGAACCAAAATTTGCGTGATCATACGCACTACAAATCTAACAACGTCATCTTAAGATTCTGCTAAGTTGCTGAAGCTTTCTAATCAGTGGCGGCTCGTCAGGGGAGGCAGGGGAGGCAGTGCCTCCCCTGGAAAAATTGACTATAAGTTTTTGTTTTAATATCTGTTAACTTCAAATATATTTTAAAGATACAGCAAATAACTTTTATGGAACACTGTGATTTATTAAAATGTGTCTTGGTAACATATTTTGAAGTACGCGCGTTCGACAGGAATAAGCGCTGATTATAGCCGTGTAGGCCAGCTTCAGACGGAGGCATGCCTCAGATAGACGGATATCTTCAGTATGATTAGTCAGTGGTGCTAATATGTTTTTGAGTAAGACAATAGTCATCAGTGCTTTATCAAAGCGCCAGCGGAGGCACCAACGCCTACCGTCCTTAAGCCAATCAGATCGAATTTTTTAATCTCACGGTGAAACTGCACAATGCTGAACAGGGATGCTGAATGCATTTAGTTGTGCATTAATTAGACGCGAGGAAAGGTGTTCACTGCATGTGCATTGCCAAGGTTATGTATTAAAACTTTTAAGTTAACTTGAACACAGTAGGACAATGAAAATGTCAGTTTTGCAATGCTGATAGCAACATAAGAATTTATAATCTCCAGAATTTCTTATAAAGTTTAAATATTTAAGCACGGTTTTCTTACCACGAACAATTGTATGTCAAAGATCTAGAACCTCTCACCCAGATTTGAGCAGAACTTTATTAATTAATTGATTAATATATTTAAATTAGCCCTAGATCATATGAATTAATATTTAATGCTAATAAAGCAAATTCTGCAGTCTTGAAACCTTCTCGTTGGTTTGTGTGAAGCAATTAAATGTTTTTTGTTCGAGAAGTGTACCCATATAGAGATAGGTTAACTGACTCAGGCCTATTTGTATTGTTTTCACAAAAACGAATAAACAATCTGTCTTTTAAAAAAAGTAATTGCCAACATGTTAATTAATACCTGCTGTTTTTGAAACGAAATTGTTGCCTCACGTAACGAAAAGACCACGAGCCGCTACTGTTTCTAATTTACTAATCCCTTTTTATTTTGTAAAGTTAGCTACGTTTTTGGAAAAAGTTAAAATTATGCAACAAAATTTGTGAAATGAACTACTCCATTGTTCGTCTACTTCTTTTATCGTTGACGATTAGGTTGAAGATTAGTTTTTTATTTGTTACTTTCTTCGTCTCAATTAAAATACCTCGCTGCCAATAATCAAGTGTTTTAAGATCTCTTTCAAAACTTCTTCATTTATCTACTCCCGGCAACGGATCCGTTCCAGATTATTCATATTTTCCAAACTAACATTATTCTCGAGTAGAATATTGTAAAATTTTTCTATGCATCCTTTCTTTGTCTGTCTCCTGTAGGAGTTCCAGTTGTTCCAAATTTTCATTTGCTAGATTTTCTCCAAAGCTTTGTCTTTCAGTTCTCACCTTTTAGAAGTTTATTGAGACCTCTTATGTTCAGTTCTGCCGTATAATGGACCTATTCGTTTACATCCAGTTAATAGAGTAATTGTTCTTTCAACTAAAATCTAAAGTCATATCTCGGTCTTTTCTAAATTTTTTTTTTTTTCATTTTTCTACTTTTCTTCACTGCTTTGTAATTTTTCATATTTGTAACACGATTTTTAATATCATTATTACAAAGTTGCGTATCTACCATCAAAATCAAGCAAACATCTTTGAGAATAAACCTGGTCGTCGCTGTCCACTATAACATGGCATTTTAAGTTGAAGTTCGTATATCTTCTATATTCTCTACACAAAATTCATCTACACTGTTGCCTCTTGATTCTTCTAATCTTTTGAAGCCACGCCCTTATAACACTACTTCTGAAGAAACACTTTTAGTGTCGTGTTCCTTTTTATTGTTGTTGTTTTTAAGTGTTGTTTCTAGCAAACACATTTCTTGAATTTCATCTATGTTTTCTAAATCACTCTCTCTCAATAATGAGTTCCCTCTACACTCTACTTTACAAGCTTAAGTTTTGATAAATGTATATCCTTCCATGTTCGCTAAATTTACTGAAGCCTCTTTTGTTCAGCACTGCTTAAAGTGGACCCTTGCGACTCTATCTAGAGTTTGTAGAGTAACAATTCTTTTTAACTGTAACTTGACAATTGAACTGGAAATTCTTTGTATCTCCCAACTTTCCCCAATAAAATTCTTCTTCTTCATTAGCCATTCCCCTGATCTTTCAAATAACCTTTGTTTTTAACCAATCGCTTTAGAACGTTTTCAAAAAACTTACATCTTCTTTCTTCTACCATATTTAAGCATTAATTTCAAAATTATTCTCTTTCATGACTTTTCTAAACAAAATTTTTTTCCTTTTTTCTCGATTTTTGTAATTTTTCGAAATCCGAAATCCGAGAACTGTAAATTATTAAATATCTGCAATAAATTCTCTCTCTCCTTACTCTGACAGAGAAAGAGAGAAGCGGTGCGGGGAGTCGCAGGTAGAGTACAAATAAGAAAATAACTAATAGTAGGTTAATTTAATTCGATGACAGCATGGCTGGTGAAATGCGGCTGTTGAAACTTTCATTTCTGTAGATTCCAATTCGATATCTCAACGCCACTTGTGAGACGTTAGTGTTATCGTGTTCCCTGGAGATCATTGAAGGTAGATACAGGGTTATTCAGCTAAGATGACCAATTTATATTTTTAAAATAGACAACCCAAAATACCTATTCCACCTGAACCTAGATTACAAGAAATGTTTCAAAATTAAATTGTATCAAAGTTTGCTAAATGTATAGAGACGTCAGTCAACGTCAGTGTCAGAAAAACGCCTAGATGCATTCAATAACGAGAAAACCGACATTATCCTTAGTTATGGACACGTTATGGCGAATGACACAAAGAGGTTAGTCTGTGGGTCGAAGTTCAAGCACCAGCTGCAGATGGTAGGGGTGAAATTGATTTATTTTTAAAATTCTGCAGACTGAGGATTCGCTAATTCCTACTTGTCTAGCAATAGCAATTTGTCCCATATGAGGATTTTCATTAACTTGGGCAAGGTCTTCTACTTCATTTGCCACGCTAGTCGCAGTCCGGTTCCTTTTCCTCTTGTTAGCAGGCCACTTGCTACACAAGGCATTTTCTAGCCTCTTGAAAATTTTGGGTGTTGGGGCCACATGGTCAGGCCATCTTCGGGCATACAATTGTGCTGCACGTCTAGCATTCTGCGACATTCTCCGTAAATAAGGATCATGTCGGTTTTCTCGTTATTATCATAAGAATGCATAGGCATTTTTCTGACACTGACGTTTCCATGCACTTATAAGCAAACTTTGATACAATTAAATTTTGAAACATTTTTTGTAATCCAGACTCAAGTGGAATCGATATTATGGGTTGCCTATTTTAAAGACACAAATGGGTCATCTTAGGTGAATAACCCTGTATATCAAGAATACTCACTCTTATATTCAATTCTACTCAACTTCTCACATATCTATCAGAAATTTACAATAAATTTAGGCGATTTGTTTTTTTATTATTATTAACAACCTAACGTTGTAGGTTGTAGTTTAGAAACTGTTGTGTCCACTTTACTAAAATCTCTGTTAACAAGAAATCCGTCATATTATTATAATGTTCCCACAGCTCTGTATATTAGAGTAACACTGATTTCACAAGAAGAATATGTTGATGTTTAAATTACTAGTGCAAATATTTGCTGACAGTTAAGATAATTCTTTTTCTTTTCAAAAAAGTTGTCTGAAGTAGAAAACCAATATACAGGGTCATCAAAATTGATTGAGAGAGTTGGTACCCCCTGTTTTTGTCGTGAAGTTTGTCAACCTTATGACAGATTTGTTTAAGGTTATATGGCAATGAATTCAGTGGCGTGACAAAAATTAGAAACTTCAAATCTGACAACTAATGTTTTTACCAAAAAAAAGTCGAAAAAAGACGCCACTGAGTTTTGAAGTTTGAAACTTGAAACTTCAAATCTGACAGCTAATATTTTTATACAACTTAATAAACCAAATTATTCAAGTTCAGGTTTACCAACTCTCTCAATCAATTTTGATGACCCTGTATATTGTAATGAAACTACGGACCAGATATATTACAAACGACGTCAAATGGTTACTCGATATTTAGAATTTTTTCTAATCATGTACCATAACGATAACATGAACTACAACGTTTGTCACAAGGGAATAAAGATGACAGTGACATTCTCCGTAGCATGAAAATACCTACGACAAATAATCGAACATCGAGTCTCCACTTGACATCAGATTTTCTTGATCATATGTCGTTACAACTTCAACTAAAAATATTGCTTTAATACCTTTACGATTGAGGTAAATTTTCAATCAGCCTTGTTGGAAGTGACGCAAGTACCAGCTCGCAATATTTCTCTAAAATAAGTATATCAGTTTCCACCTCGATCAGCCCCGTTCCTCTTATCTCGCCTCGTCGCGCCCCCACCCCGTTCGATCGCATGTCTCATTACAAGAATCCGGAAAAAGTCTCCCCTGATTCATTTCCTTAACCCATTTCCCTGCATGCGTTCGCACGTGCACATAAAGCCAGATGTTAATAGCAGCACTTTTCTGTGCCAGGCTCCCCCGACGGAGAAAGCGACAGGAACGTGGGGTCGCTAAACGGTCCCCAAAGTCTTCCTCTAGGAACTCTTGCCACATCACCGAATTACGCTCAGACGAATGTCCCCGCACCCCAGTGGGTTAGTCCCGTTAGTGTTGCTCCCGCTGTCGAGCCGATGGTACTCTGCCCCGTCCGTCCACTAAAGAAATCTACTCAAATTCTTTTTCCAGTATCATCTGTATAATAATCCCGTGGCGATGGTGGGCACGTTTCCAAGGGACTCCAGGCCAAAGGACCTTCGTTTAGGAAACGGAAGCTCATCTACCCTTCAGAGGGCGACGGATTTGGAACTAAACGGATTAGCCATTAAAGAGAGACTCATGGCAAACCGGTTGCCGGAGAGTTGTGTTTAAAAGCAAGTGTCTTGTAATGTCGGGTTGGACTATTTTAAGTTAAGGACCGTCCAAACGCTACATGATGATAGTGTGCCGATTTTCAGCGAATGTTTCGGGTTTGTGGGATGGGAAGTTGTTAAAGGGCGATGTAGAACTGTTGGTAAACAAAGAGGATTGTTTCAGTTTCATATTAATTTATCATTGTTTCAGTTTCAACGGTCTTTTGACGAAAATTTGCTCATATGCCACTGAAAACATTTTTAACGAGGCTTAGTAGGTTCTGATCAGCAGTTATCAAAATATTTAATTTTTATAATAATAATTCAAAATTTGCAAATCCAACATTTTTAAGGGTGAATTTTGCATACATCTTTTCACTTGCAAGAGAATGCAACTTAAAAGGTTTGTACAAAAAATGAGTTCTGTCAGACTACAACAAAACATGTTTTTAATTAATGAACGCGGTCTATATATTTTTCCACCACCAGATCTTTGGTACACCGGTATATATAATAATTTACAAAATTTTTAAGGTGTTATAGATTCCATAAATAATTACTTTAAAGTGCTTGTTACTATCATATCTACGTCCTAGTTGCCATTGTACTTCGTGGTCTTAAAATAAGCAAAACGACATTATGTAGATACATAATGGGTATTATATTTTTCTTTTTACTGAAACCTTTTGTAGAATTTGTCAGGCTCGTGAAATGTGTAAAAACAGTTTTCTAAAATATTACACTCAGGTTCGTTTTATTAGTTGTTTATTTGTCGATTTTTTTAATGGGCTAAAATCAGACTAATATATTTATATTCAATCTCTTAATTTTTAGCTTTAAAAAAATTTAAAGAAATACTAAAACTAACTATTTTCCGCACGTTAAGTCTTATAGTTTAGAATTTATCATACCTGAATGGGCCGAAAACAAATGTAGAAATTTTCCAAAATCTTCACTTTCAGACTTCAAAAAATTTTTTTTCAATCTACTGAAATAATTGAGATGATTATGCTTATCGTTATTTTCTTAAATAATGACGATAAGCCATTTATACCTTAAATAGGTACAGCATACATTTTGTGACATATCAAAGTCAATTCTAGTTGTTGTGAAGGTAACAAACCATGCACAAATTATTTTTTAATATCTGGTTGACCGAGTTTCACTCGGCTCGTTTGGTAGTATTAGATCAGATTAGGACAGATAAATATGCGTATTGTATGCATTTTGAAGTACACGCGCTACTTAAAAATACACATTAAAAAAGAAATTCCATAAGCAGTCTTTGTTTTAAACACTGATAAGTGACATGTAGAGATTAAAGAACAGAAAACTGGAATTATTGTTTGACATCTCATTTGTTACCCAAGTTTTCTCTCTGTCGTTTTTTTTTTCCTAGTTCTCTCTCTCGACTCTAGAAAAAGGTCACAACCACATTCTTACTGCCAGAAGAGTTTCGCCTCTGGTGTGGTTAACATACTGAGTTACCGTGCTGTTTTGTGTTATTCCTAATTTCTCAATCTCAACCCTGCTCCCGAAGATGCCATTTACGAAAGTGTGCGAAACGTTGAGCCCAAAAACTCAAATAACACGGTCCCATCCCCGAAAACGATCACATGTTGACACTGACCGTGGAACCTCTGAAATGAATGTTTGACAAAATAATCTCAATTCAGCACACTTTCGTGTGCCTTTTATCCGCTCACTGTTTAGTTTTTGGTAAATTTTCTCACCTCAGGAGGTGAATTTCAACGTCCTCTATACAGTGGAGTATGTTTCGGTACGTACAATTGAAGATAAAAAGGTACGTCAAACGTACTGTCAGACTGTCACCCAAACTTCTCATATAAAACAATCTCGTGTTCGTGTAGTGTCATGTGATGTTGCCTAGCAACAAATATAATTCACTGCCTGAAAATTGCTGAAAATGCATGAAGCTGTAATTTTCAGAAGTTAAAACTATGATCAATCGATTTCTTGACCCAAAAAACCCCTAACCTGTAAATTTCATCGAAATCGTTAGAGCCGTTTTCGAGAAACCCATTACATATACAGGGTGTCCCAGAATTCGCGCCATTCCCGTGAATGACATGTTCCCTGTCCCGAACTGTGCCGTAATTCGCAAAAAGAATTGTCCAGGCTTTAACCGTGTGAGAACTGGAAGGCGATTAAGTTGACCAATAGAGAGGCTGCTTTTATATCCGAACGTTTCTATGTTCAAAGTTACCTATGCCAAGAACAAAAAATCGGGTAATACTAAAGTTGAATGAATTTTTTTCGAATCCCCCTCCGTCAACAAAAGGAAACAGAAGTGTGGTTATAAATTTAATCATTTTGACAATTGTTTGTCATAAACTGTCACGAAGTTCATCACTGACCTGAACAGACGCTTCTGCCCCCAAAGATGACTGATTAATGTACACAGAGACGTCAAGGTTTACTTTAAGGCAAGTAGCATGGCACAGAAGTTATTTCTGCTGCCATTCTAGTTAAATTGTGTTTAACTGGGCTGTACATGTCATAAGAGAAGCTGTTTCATTTCATCGTAGGCAAATAATACATTTATTACTATTCTACATAGAGTAGCTACCGAAGAGCAGGTATTAGAAGTCATTTTCTTAGAGCCCCGTGAATAATGTGTTGTTCTTTTTAACGAAAATTAGTACATTTTCAGAATGCATCATATGCCTGATATTAAGTTTATCGTTATTTCTAAAAAAGAGTACCACATGTCCATTCAAAGAACGTTATTAAGTGTATTTAAACATAAATATCGCTTTTGATTAATCAGTGATTATGATTTTCAATAAACAGTATCAATTTTTACTGAACAGCTTTGTTGCTGATACCTAATCTAAGCAACGAAAAAATAGACGAGACTCCACTTCTCTGGTGTATTAAGATCATAGGTATCTGCTGTGGTGTCAATCATGTGGGGGAGATACTGAAAACTGAGACTTATTCAAGAATAATATTGATGTTGCACATGATGATTTAAGACAGTTTCTTTAAAGTTGTGAGTACATACTTTCTAGAGATTGAAAAGATACGAATAAAAATTATAACAATAGTTGCAATTTTTTTTAAGAACAATACAAACAATTTATGGAGAATGTACACGCTATGCAGCCACTGCTGTGCGCGAATATACAGGTCTTTTCCCCAATCATCGGCTCCTTGACCAGCATGTGTTTCGTCGTTTGTTGCATCCAGCAAAAGAAGATGGATCTTTTCAGCCTATGCGGAAAGCCGTGCTGGGGCTCCACGGATTATACGCATAGACGGTGAAGAACAAGTGGCACAAATGATTGGATGCTCAAGATCGATCATGCATCGTATCCTTACAGAGAAAAATCTGCATCCTTACTATTGACGAAAGTGCAGCATCTGCGACGAGCCGACTGCGCGACGAGTGCATGTTGCTATATGGTTACTGCGACAAAATGAACTAAATCCTGATTTTTCACGGCACATTCTTTTCGCCGACGAATGTTGATTTTCCCGAAAAGGAATATTTAATGCGCACAATTCACTTCTGGGCAAACGAAAATCCACATTTCGCTAACGTGAGAGCATATCAAGAGCAATACTATTAATCTATGGGCTGGAATCGTTGTACTGTAACGTTATTAAACAATGTGCTCAAAATGACCACCATTAACTTCAATGCAAGTTCTAGCTCGTTGAATTATGTTGTGTTGTGTATTATGTAACATCTCAGGAGTAACTGTAGCGTAGGCTTCGTGCAGTCTCTCTTCCAGTTCTTCTAACATATCTAGGGGTTCTCTATATACGTAATTTTTAATTTGATTCCAAAAAAAAGTCCAAAGCAGAAAGGTCTAGAGATCTAGGAGGCCAGATATTAGTACTGCCACGCCCAATCCACCTATGACGATACTCTTTTCAATGTTCGTCGTACAAGTATCGAATTATATGGAGGAGCGCCGTCGTGCTGAAACCACATATTCCGCCGTACATTCAAAGGAACGTCTTCCAACAATGCCGGAAGCTCTAGTCGTAGAAAATTAGCATATGCATCCCCATTAAGGCGATCAGGTAATCTGATAATTTTATCAGATGCATTAAAATTTTTACCACAGTAGTACCAATGATTCCAGCCCATAGATTAATAGTAAATCGCTCCTGATATGCTCTCACCCTAGTGAGATGTGGATTTTCGTGTGCCCAGAAATGCCAATTGTGTGCATTCCTTCTCGGGAAAATGAACATTCGTCGGTGAAAAGAATGCGCCGTGTAAAATCAGGATTTAGTTCATTTTGTCGCAGTAACCATTGAGCAAAATGTACTCGTCGCGGGTAGTCGGTTGGTCGCAGATGCTGCACTCTCGTGTAATGGTAAGGATGCAGTCTTCTCTCTTGAAGGATACGATGAGTGGTCGATCTTGAACATCCACTAATTTGCGCTACGTAGAGGACACTTCTCCTAGGATCCGCTTCCATGTTTCCTAACACTTGCTCTTCAGCACCTACACGTACATTCCGTGGAGCCCCAGCACGGCCTTTCCGACTAGGTTGAAAAGATCTTCTCTTGCTCGATGTAACAATCGGTGAAACACATGTTGGTCTGGGTGCCGACGATTATTCACGGGGCTCTAAGAAAATGACTTCTAATACCTGCTCTTCGGTAGCTACTCTATGTAGAATAGTAATAAATGTATTATTTGCCTACGATGAAATGAAACAGCTTCTCTTATGACATGTACAGCCCAGTTAAACACAATTTAACTAGAATGGCAGCAGAAATAACTTCTGTCCCATGCTACTTGCCTTAAAGTAAACCTTGACGTCTCTGTGTACATTAATCAGTCATCTTTAGCGCAGAAGCGTCTCTTCAGGTCAGTGATAAACTTCGTGACAGTTTATGACAAACAATTGTCAAAATGATTAAATTTATAACCACACTTCTGTTTCCTTTTGTTGACGGAGGGGGATTCGGAAAAAATTCATTCAACTTTAGTATTACCCGATTTTTTGTTCTTGGCATAGGTAACTTTGAACATAGAAACGTTCGGATATAAAAGCAGCCTCTCTATTGGTCAACTTAATCGCCTTCCAGTTCTCACACGGTTAAAGCCTGGACAATTCTTTTTGCGAATTACGGCACAGTTCGGGACAGGGAACATGTCATTTACGGGAATGGCGCGAATTCTGGGACACCCTGTATATATATATATAAATATATATATACAAACTTTGCTCGTTTAATAGTATTAGATTAGATGTTAAACATGTTAATCTGTTAGTTATTTGCCTACTTTAATAAGAAACGAACTTATTCACAGACCTTGACAATGTAGTTATATATAATAAGTAAATATATAAGTATATTTTTATAAGTTCTCGAAAAAATCTTTTTGAAGTCAAAACAATCAACACTGGAAAAAATATTCAGGTGGTCCTTTTTTTTAACTTAATTGTCAGCAATAAAAGGCTAACACATAAAAAAGGCATTTATATACCAAACACATTTAATTAAATGTCTCTCACTCTCTCAAAACGACACACACTTACTTGTCTCTTGAGATGGTGCTAAAAGAAATAATTTTAGATATTAAGTCCTTATAAATAACGATCTTTATTGAAGTTTATTTAATTCATGTTATTTTTAAAATCTTAAATGGCCACTCTGCGTTGTAATACAATGTTTTAAAAAACGATTTAAACGAAAGGAACAATGCGTATAGTTGATAAAAAACTGCAGACTAAAATAGATCTGAACTTTGCTATTTAACAGATAAGTAACAATTAAAGTAAAAAAAAAAACACTGTAAACAACACTTACATAACTACACTATTTGTTTTTACGTACTGTTACGTCAATTCTAGCACTGTTAGCTGTATACCGGTTTTATTTCTATTGTTTTCAGGTTTAGGTGATAATTTAATGTCTACCAAAAGTAGGGAAGTACGAGAAATAATGCAACAATAATTTATAAAATTTAGATAAGCTTGGGAATGTATTTTTAATGAAAAATAAAAATTATTTTTTTACACTGATACATAAATGGATCAAATCTTTCTCTAGTAGCTTCTAAATTTATTTATTATCAAAAAAAAAATTATAATAAGAATCATTTTTGGATCTTCCAACGTTTACTACCTGAATCAGTCTCTTTTTTTTTAAAGGATAACCTCTATAAGAAAGTAAAGTCCAGCAAAAGATAAATGCAAAGGCCGTCAATTATTTTATGAGACGTGTTTAGTACTTTCGACCGCACTAGCAATTAAACCATTACGCATCAGGAATGCATTTACTAGAGAACAAATACGATCCTGGAAAAGTACAACAGCAGCGACTAATTTTGATTGACAGCTTTACACAGGGTATAGCTTCGAAAACGACTGGAGATTTTACAGCGGCAATACTCATAATTGGAGTCATTTGCATTTATCTTTTACTGGACTTTAGATCCCGGTGGTTTTGCCAAATTTGATTCTCAGATTCAATATATTTATAAAAATAAAATACAACAAAGTTACACTTTTGCAATGGGCAACTAGTTTCAAATATCAGAACATTAGGCAGAAAATGATAAACTGCTATTTTTGTTGCATGTGTAAAGTGTGTAATGTGAAAGGTAGATCGTAACACGAACACAGTATGACTGAATAATACACAAAAATGGGTTAAGTAAATTTTAGTTTTAGGCACCTATCGAAAAATATGTAGTTTGTAAACAACAATTTTTGTATTTAGATTGTATTTAATTTATAGCCATGCGCTCTTAATTAAAATTTATAAAACTGTAAACAGTTATTTTTAACGTAAGAAGCCATGACTTTTAATTGTTAAAAACACGATTTAATTATTTTAGATAAACCCTGACAGCTGGTGCTAGTTTCTTTTGCTACTTGTAGTATTTTCAGCATCAAAAATTTTTATTATTCGGAATTCCTTGTAACGAAATTCTCAGCTTTCATATAATTACTTCTAATTATTTTGGATTATATTATCTTTACAACAGAACTAATTTTTGTTTTCTAGTCACAAAAAAAAAACAACAGAACTTATACAGTACTATGAGACTCTAGTTTCTGCTGACCAATGTATTAACGACAAAAAGGAGATGACCGTTAAAAAACAAACCAACAGTTCTCAGCCAAACCCTGGCTAAGGTAAACTCAGCGACTGCTTTTTCCACCTTGGCTATATTGGTTTTTGTAAAAAGTTCCTAAAGTAAGACGTTTACGAAAAATCGCCACACTGCCGTTATCACAATTTGTATGACTTAACGTTTTCTAAATGTAAATTGTGTCTAAACATAGACTGATGTAGACCTAAGCGATGTAAATATGTTTAAAACTGAGTGTTTGTGTCATCGGTGGAGAGTGGACACCTGTATACAACATAGACAATCTTTAGAAAACCCAAAAGGCATAGTCAAATTTATGAGACTTGTATATATCATTGTTGCATATCGTGAAAATGGTTGGTTGTTTTTGTAATCAATCCTTGAATGCTTTTTGATAAAAATTAACGAGACAAAGATACGAAATTCAAGTGATCGTTTTTACTGTTCGTGAAACGACGAATTTGATTTATCTAACGACCGCGTTCTGTTGCCCACATGCTATCAAATTTATCTGATTTGCTATCACTTCACTCAGAGAGATTGTTGCCAAAAGCTGGCAGTCTTCCAAGTCATACACGATCTGCGAATTTCTCCAACATGTAGAATTCCACACAGGGTGGACAACAAAACGCGATTAAATGATGGGGAGGGGATAAGTGTTAATACTTGTTTGGTTAAAATGAAAATGTTAAATTTATGTTAAAATGGTGTACATATCGATATCAATGAATTTTTATGTGCATATCGTTACTCCATATCTTTTAATTACTGGTATGATTGCAGCAAGTAATAAACTCTTAATTATTATTTTCGAATACTCGAACGCACTTGTTGCTATTGTACTATTTTAAGATAGCTATAAGTAAATATTGTGATATTTTATGTAGGCTAAACCCATGTACTTAGGAACATTGTAGAAAACAATAATAAATGTATAAAAATAATTTTATTACTCACTCAGTCAAAAAATGTAATATCTTTTTTACTAGAGTGAACAAAACAGTCTTTTGGACAACTATTAAACCTTACACAAATAAATAAATACGATAAACATATAGCACTAGCATTGCTAAAAATATTAACATCGGTGTTTTAGTTTTTTTTTGTTTGCTTTTTTTAACAGTTTTTTTTTTGTTTTTGATACCAGGCAGTTCAGCTTAACTTTAATCTAAGTACTGCAAAGTTATTGGGAACTGGAAACACAAAAGTTGTTCTTCTTCATCCGCAGTTTCCATAATCCATTGCAGGTAAGCGTTACCCAACTGAAAAAAATGCCAATAAATTTCTCTTTCCAGTTTTTGTTTTAAGCGCTTACGGGTTGATATTTTGTATCTACGTAAATATAACCCTCGTAGGTAGCCTTGTAATTTATGTCAAGTGGACATGTTAGGACCTCGCATGGGTTCCCTGGGCTTGCTGTTAGGTTGAATTTGGGTCCTCCGCTAACGATAAAAACAACATCATTGATTAAATCCGCGTCAATATTAAAAGTTCCTGTGGACAAGAATGCAATAAATTAAAGTCTTATTTTTATAGTAGCAATATTTTTAAGTTTCGTCTGGCCTTTGTACAGTGGAAGATTACAAACAAGTAATCTTTATTTATGATTGCAAAATGTTTAGAAAAACAAATAAGTGGTATTACGTCCGTGACTAATTTGGTAATTTATCAAACTTTCATCTGCTAGAGTGACAGGTCTCTCAATATGTATTTGATTGAGCTGGCGCCAGTGGAATTTATCGTGTAATCGAAATGGAGACTTGAATAACTTCTCACAAATGTAAAAAAAAAATGTGGACTAAACATATTGAACTTCTTTTTTCCTTTTTGAAGATAGAACGAATAATTTTTGCTAAAACAGATCTTACCCTTGCCCTTACCAGTGTTTATCGTAAACGATATGTTCAGAGTGTGTCCAATGTATAAAGTACATGCTACATAATCTGCCTCACATCCCTCCACCTCAATATCGTCGAACGAAAAATACGAACCTGAAAAGATTTGCTTTATTAGAATGTTTATGTTAATAAAAAAAAAATGATGGCAATCTTAAATTCAGTGTCAAACATACTATGAGATCATTTTCGCACTGTTAAAAATAGCGTCTATAATAACTAAACTCTTTGAAAAATTCTTTTCCAAATTTTCAAAATTAGCTTCGTCATATAGTAGGTGCGGAAAAACACTTGTTGATTGAGAGAAAAATCAACAAAGGGCAAATCGTATCTTAAGTATCACTTTTTCGAGTTTACTAGATTGCAATAATACTGTGGAGAAAAAAACTGTATGTTCCTGATTCAAACGGTGTCATTTTTGTAGGTTCTCATTCAAAAGGTAACATAGTGAAAGAAATGAATATGTTTGATCTTTTCCATTATGCAAAATTATTTATAGATTGCCATTGATGAAAGATACTACAACATTGCCAAAAATACTGCAAAAAAATACGTTCAAAAATTTTGAACGTTCAGCACACAAATAATACAAAAATCAATATGCTCTGAGCTGAGCTTTTCTTCATTCACCAGATTAATTATGTCTAAATAAATTTGGCTCATGAGAATATATTTACCAAATATATCTGATATGTTAATTTGACTGAAATAATAAATCTCAAACAATTATGGTTCTTTAAACTTATTTTTAAATCTACATTAATTTAAATATTATTAAAACAAACACGTCTTCCATACTTTTGAACAAATATGTAATCCTTTAGAACACCGGTAACAGATTAGAACTTTTAAACTTCTGTACTGCTTTGTTTTAGAAATTTTTAACTTGACATTGAACCACTGTTTTCATAAATAGATAAAATGATCTACAAGAACAAATTAATTTATTTGAGACGTTACTAGTAGAAGGAAACGGCGGGATTTGACCTAAACATTTTATTACCACTAAATCAAGAGTGGTACCTTGTTTTCGATTATTACAAATTTTTCGAACTTCGTCCAAACTTTGTGTATTTTGTTGTCGTGATTCATTCAAATAATTTTGTTTCATTTTTTACCAATACACACTTCTCACTTTCTTTCTATAATTTTCTTCAGCATTTTTTTTTATCGAATCCAAACGAGTTTTCCCTTTATTTTCTATTTTTCTACATATATAAAATGCACCTATTTTCTTTAGACATTCAACTATCACTTTCAAATATTTATAAACAGCTTTAAAGGTTGGTACAGTTTTATAATCAAAAAGAGAATTTTCTTCTCTAAATCGAACAAGTGTTGAAAGGTGAACGCAGGTTATATTTGGAAGGAAGAGCCATTTTTACTATAGTAATGTGAGTTAGTTTAAAATTTGGAAGGACATTTTCATTTTAAATTTCACCAATACTGTATAAGAAGACTATCCTTGAACCGCCGAGTTACGAACCTACCATTCCAATTGATTAAAAAATTACGTATTCTGAGATTGGGCTTAAAAATCGAAAAAGTAACTCGATCTCTCGACAAGTGTTACTATGACATATTTTTGTTGGAAATTTGTTGTGGTTAGATACAAGTGTGTGAATTTGTGATGTGGAGATTTTGGGGGTTTTATTCAGTTAAAGTATAGGTTTTTACTATTTTTCAAAGCTAGTATTTTGAACAAGGCGGTTCGTTTCGCCTTGTTCTTCATTCTCTGGGCTCTTCATGAGACTTTCACGTAATCAGTTCATCTATTGTTAATGTGTTATTTACGATACCGTAAAGGAGAAAATAAGAAAGTTTTCACTAATTCCGATTTTGAAAGGTAGGTCGCCGTTTGAGTGCATTTTGTAATAATGTTTTCATTCATTCATTCCTTACGTGTTAAAAAACTTGACAACACGAAAACTCTCAAAAGTTTAGAGCAAGTTGTGCGGACTTTTTTCCTTTTATAAAATTGTGTTTTTATTCAAAAAACAGGAAGCAACAACAGTATACTTTAGTCAAAGAACTCAACCCGCAAAACTCTAAAACCATAAATTATACAGGTACGACCGCCAAAGACCGTCTGCGAACAGAAGTTCTGTAGGCACGCGACACGGCTTACAAGTTTACAAGGACGCTACTGCGAAAAGGCGACTCGACACTGTCAGCCAAATAATCCTAATTATGTCATAAAATTTTATTAGTATGCATTTAAAATGATCTTACAGTAATACATAGTAATTATACTGAAATTGTACAATATATTATATCAACATACATTTTGCGGTACATGCTATAATTTCAATTTATTTAATTGCACGTCTTCACAATTCCCTTCTTTCTATTTAGAATTAGATCAACCGATACAGTTTTGTCTTGAACAATGAATTGTGAAATTGGGATCCATTATTGAACAAATAAACAAACTAAATTACTTCCATGTTTAAGTCTATTTTTAGAATTAATGCAACCTGAACTGCATAAAAGTACATATAATTAGACATATATGGATAATAGACTTTTTTTAGAATGCATTTCTTAGAAGTATGTGAAAACGAATAACCAAATAATATTTTTAACAACAAAAATTCTTTGCCACTTAATTACAGTAATTAAATAAACAGTAACACGTGCACATAAAACTAAGCTTTTTTAATACATTGAAAAGTAAACAGGAAAAAATCAAATAGCCATATAATAACAAATACAAAAACATTGCAATTTGTTTACCATCGCATTGTTTTCTTTCACTTCCTCATGAATAACTTAAACCAGTCGACTAAAAACTTACCACAATCCTTGATATCTAGAGAGTAGGCGGACTGCGAACAAAATATTAAACAACCCAGAAAATTAAAAATCAGTACTTTGTACAACATAGTGAACAAAATATTAACCACCTTATTACCCAAACGAAACTAACATCAAATTCGACGTGATAGATTTAAAAACCACCCGTAATCTCTTAAATCTGTTTATCGATAATCTTGAATGCTTAGCTTATCGGTGCTTCATCTTGAAGATGTCCGAAAAATAAAGATAATCTTAAAAATATTTTGTCATAACAAAGCTGCATGCACATTACAGGGATTTGTAGACGTGATTTATTTGAACAAAATTTATCTAAAAGGTCATTTACGTTAATTTTTGAAAGGTTTTTTGTTGTTATAATATTAAATAAGACCTTGGTCTCGGACAAACTTCCAACACTACAAAAGTAGTAATTAAGCATTTGAAATACACTGCAAAAACAATGGTATTAGGAGGATACATGTTTGTACCCAGACACGCATTTGAAACATGTACAAATTATAAGTGAGAATAAAATTGCATGCCGATGATGTAATTTTTCAAATTATGTTTGAGTAAAACGATTTTTAATCTGTCGATTATTAGTAGTTCTAATATTTACAACCACTTGAAAATGTATTTACTTTGTATTTTTTCTTACAAAGCTATCCTAACAATCCTAATTAAACTGACTGATTCTTTCTTGATTTTTAAATTGAATACTGTCACTTTTACCTGGTTTTTATTAATATAAATCACAAAACCATAATCACGCCATTAGGTACAAAGTACGTTCTCTTGTAGAAAGGTGAATAAAAATGTGTTAAGTAAGTAACGAATGTCACGTTCTGTTTTATTTGTTTTATTGTTGAGCGAACAATTCTGTTTTAAATACATTAATACCTATAAAACTATTAAAAATTACTTACACTAACTTTTGAATACATTTATCCTTTGGGAAAGATAAAAAACAAATTAATTAATTTAATTCTAAACTAATTTTTGAAGTAACAAGATGATTACTTTAAAAAAAATTAAGATGACAACAACTTAAAAAAAATGTAACCAAAAATTCTGAAATCTGCGTGATTTTTAAGATAAGATTTGCCTTAAATAATAAAACTTTTTAACATCAACATCATGATGTAGAAATATGAACAAATTAGAGTAGAAAATTAAAAGTAACATTTTAGCAGCAACGTTGTATTCCAGGCTTTTCAGAAACACTATCAGTTATTAATTTAATCCAGTGGTTTCATTTTTTTTATCACAATTAAGGGATGGTTTTGAAAATTTATGTAACCGAATTATTCTGACCATTTCTAATTTTTTTTTCTGTTTGTGGAATGCAGATTCTCTATTTTCTCTGCCTATAGACAATCACGACCAAAATCAGAAAATCGATTACTCTGAAATTTTAAAAATACCTCTCCTTTTCAAAATAAAATATGTCCATGCAATATTGCAACACCACTTTTAAAAATAATCCTGCTGCTCTATGCATTTAAAAAAAAAAAAATCAAGGAAATTGCACTAACTTGGCAATATTCTACAAGGATTTCAAAAAAATTATCTGTACAAAACCTAACAAAAGACCTAGTTTAAAGTATGTAAACACATATATGTAGAAGCCGAACATTTTGTATATTTAAAAATAAGTTTAAATTGTTTGTCGGTCCTTAACTTTTTCTCCGTTTCTTGTTGTTATTGAGACGTTGAGAAGAATGCACTTATATTAACTCACTTAAGGTTTAAGGTATAAGTTTATTTGGTAAAGACAGTCGGTTAGTTTCAGTATAGGCACAGAAAACCGTCTAAAACAATAGCCCGTGTATTTACAACATACAGACACCTGCAAGTTGCACATCAGACTCTCTGTAATTTTAATTTTTACAAAAGTATAGTATTTAAGAGCGTAAACTGATATAACTCCAGACAACATTAATTAAAGTCTACAAGGATTTTCTTTCCCAACGAGACAACCAGAAATTTTTGACAAGGATTGAAGAAACACACTAATTAATAAAACATTAATAAAAAATTCTTCAAAGAAATAATTTTATGACTTTTGCTACTCAAAATCTGTGTCGAAACTTTTGCAAAATACTGATTATTGTGTCCGTTTTTAATAACAAATAATACTACTTCTCGGAAATATAAATTAATCGAAGTTGTAATTTATTAATTTATTCACGAATATATTATAAATAACTTTCATTAAATTTCCTTAATAATAATTTATTAACTTTTTGATAATTCAACATAGTTATGTATTATTCATTACACTAAAACGATCACAGTTAATTAGTAATTCTAGCGGGAACTTCCAAACATATGAGATATTTTCCATCTTGATCCACTAGTCCCCAATGAACCACGAGCTTCAGCTGAAAAAATACACTTTGTAACAATTTCATCACAATTATGATTAAGTAGAAAATAAGTACACATAATTACATATCGTGACAACATCGCGATAAACACCTGGCAAAAAATCCTTAATTTAATCTTGTGCATTATCTGAGAAAAAGTGGATAATACTCGAATGGCACATCTCAACAAAAAATGTCTGAAGGTCACACTGTCATCACGTTTTTTACTTGAAAAACTGAAAACAAGGCCTTAGAACATAGAGAAATTTGTTGACCTTGAAAAATATTACAGGGTTATTGAGTAATATATATATTTTTTTAATGAATTCCGAATTATATTTCCCAGAAATGCGTAATATATAAAATAAAACGTAGGTAGTTAATCTGACATATCATCGACGTTCTTACCCTAGGATAAACTTGGAGGACTTCTATCTCATTTCGGTAGAGATAATCTTCTCCTTTGTTTAGCGGACATCCAACTTGAGTTTTGCCGTCGCTGCTGTAAATGCCTTTGCAGGCGTCTGTTTGATCGTATCCAGGAAAAGGTAAAGGTAATCCACTAACAAAAGCTGATATTGAGTTTGTCAGCTTTGTAATATCTCTGTCTAAAAATAACGGCAATCTGATTAAATGGTTGTAATGCAAGTATTTAGAATGATTTATTTTTTGATAACGAGTTAAAAATAGAAACGAGGGGCATGTTAAGAAGTTTATTTTTGAGCTTGATTGACATTTGTATAGAATTAATAACTTAAATAAAAACACACTTCAAAACAAAATCGAGCCCTTGGTAACAACAAATTTTAAAGTGAACGCTAGTCGAAGTATTTGACTCAATTTTGCAAAAAATATTACTTGAACTTTTAGTATAATTTTAATGATTGGTTATAATTTGAGTTCGTATTAACGTGACGCAATGCGAAAAATACTACTTACCCGGTGAGAGTTTCATCTCAAAAGCTATTTTTGCATTCTTTCGTAGTCTACAAGGGGGTTTCCGGCAATTTCCTATCTTAATCCGATCTGATAAATCATCGAGAGGTGTTTCTGAAAATTTGATAACAAATATCTAATTAGCACAAATTTATTGTTTTTTAAAATAAAATACAGAACTATATAAATTATTATAAAAACATAAAACATAAACACAAACACATCTGTAACTTATGAAAATCAAAAACAAATTAAACTTACCATCGTCATGACACTGTGAAACACTGACTGCTTGTATACACGAAATAACACTCAGCACAAGTAAACTGCATACCACAATTTTCATGTTGGTGGATATGGTATATTAATTTTATCAAACTTCTCGATTTTTAAATACCTAATTGTTACTGGGTCGCTAGAATCAACAGTGTTATGCTAAAATACCTTTACTCCCACTTTGTGCTTACGAAAGGTGATTAAATTCCCACTTCTCATTCAGTGTAATTCTTCTTGCATGACATCTGCTTTATTTTATGGACAGTTTTCATGTAAAAATGCGGAACTTAGGCAAAAAACGCGGATGACAAAAATTATGCAAAAATTTTACAGTTAACACCTTTTAGATGAGTTTTAGATATGGTAATAGTTATGCAGTTTATAATGCAAGTCATGTTAACGAACTAAAGTAAAAGTAAAATATGCAATTATTTTTATGTGATAACGAAAAAAAAACTTTGAAAGGCTAAGAAACCGATAACCAATAATACATGGAAAAATAGAAAAACTGAGTGGTATACCTCAAGTATACTACTTTAGTCACGAACTTGTGTTATTCATTGTCAAAATTATTTATAACTTCTTTTGTTGACCATCTTGATTATTATCTAATTTAACGTGCCGGTTAAAGAACTACCACAACAAAAAAAAAATGGGTTGGAAATAATGAAACAGGTAAATTTAAATTTATTTATTTCATTGTAATAGAATAACTAACAATATTTTTAATGGTGGTTTTAATGGTGGTTTTTAAGAAAAACTGTTCTCTAAAAGATCAAATATGCCGATCTGTGTAGACGGTGTACTGGCGAAACTGAAAAAGATATTGCAAATATCTCGCGTCATGTACTATATCTTCCTGTGTGTGTACCGTATGCCATATGTGAAAGATATTTTTCTCATGTTGAATATTAATTTTAAAGAATCATAAACAATTAATGCAAATTTTGTCACGTTCTATAGATAGATAACCAGTAATACAAATACTTTATGTACGCATATCCAAAAAATTGGTCTAAAGAGTTTAGACAGTACTTCCCTCGCTGTCGGAAACTTGACGACTGCATGCCTATTGTGTTTTTTTTCTCATTACATTTTAGTAGTGGGAATTAAAAAAAAAATTGCGATGACGTCATCAACATTTTTGCAAGGACACGTATATCAGTTGGGATAGATGTAGTGTAATACTAAGAATAAAATTATTGTATTCCCAAATTTTCGGGAAAATGAATTGGGTCGTTTTGAATATTGATTTTTTATAATCAATAAAATAACGAAACAATTTACTCACGTATACGTATCAGAGGCAACTGAAAATCGTGTATGTATAAACATTCTTAATTTAAGATGACAGGCGTAACAGCATACGTGAGAGTCAAACAGAGAAACTGTAAACAAAACGACCATCGGTTTTATTGCTTCGACTTCCGCTTATTATATAAAACATTGGGTTTTATTTTAATTCTTGACGGTGAAATTCACAATTGGTTGATTATAAACATGTCTATTTCACATTCGCGGAATCAAGTGAACGCATAAAACAAATGCAGGTCTGTAATGTTAAAGTCGATGTAAATAAGCGTGCTACCCTTATGTTTCAACCGAGTTTTTCCTTTAACAAATTTTGTGTCTACCAAATTGGGTTGGTTGGGGTGTAATACTAATAATAAGTGTTGCCTTTAATTTAATCAATAAAATAAATTGACTTCATTAATTTTTTTGAACCACTTCTTAAGAAAATCTAAAAAATATGAATGGAATGATAAATCACAAGTACAAACTCATCATATTTTTTGCATTTTAGATAGGATTTATTCAGCAAAATTTAAGGGTGACGTCATCAATTTTTTTAGGAGGGATGAACAAATACATTTTGAACAAAAGTTTACCATGGTTATAATAACGTTAAAATATTCCCAAGATTTCAAAGCATTCGGTTTTGTAATTCCTGATTAAATCGATAAAATAAATTCACGCCTTCATTAATTTTTTTGAGTCACCCTGTATATGCAAATCGAAAAAATTTGAATGGAATGATAAATCACAAGAAGAGACTCACCATATTTTGTACATTTTGGATAGGATTTATTCAGCAAAATTTTGTGGTGACGTCATAAATTTTTTAGGGGGGACGACCAAATACGTTTTGGTCAAACATTTACCATGCTTATGATAATTTTAAAATATCTTCAAGATTTCGAAGCATTCGGTTTTGTAGTTCCTGAGTAAATCAGTAAAATAAATTTACGCTTTCATTTATTTTCTTGAATCACCCTGTATATGCAAATCCAAAAAATATGAATGGAGTGATAGATCACAAGTACAGACTGATCATATTTTCTACATTTTAGATATGATTTATTCCGCAAATTTTCGAGCTGACGTCATCAAGTTTTTGGAGGGGATAAGCAAATATATTTTGACTAAACATTTATTATGCTCTTTATAACCTTAAAACATGTGCAAGATGTCAGAGCATTCCGTTTTGTAGTTCCTGATTAAATCAATAAAACATATTTACGCATTCATTAATTTTTTTGAGTCACTCTGTATATGCAAATCCAAAAAATATGAATGGAGTGATAAATGACAAGTACAGGCTTATCATATTTTGTACATTTTAGATATGATTTATTCGGCAAACTTTCGAGCTGACGTCATCAAGTTTTTGGAGGGGATAAGCAAATATATTTTGACTAAACATTTATTATGCTCTTTATAACCTTAAAACATGTGCAAGATGTCAGAGCATTCCGTTTTGTAGTTCCTGATTAAATCAATAAAATATATTTACGCATTCATTAATTTTTTTGAATCACCCTGTATATGCAAATCCAAAAAATATGAATGGAGTGATAGATCACAAGTACAGACTCATCATATTTTGTACATTTTAGATATGATTTATTCCACAAACTTTTGAGCTGACGTCATCAAGTTTTTGGAGGGGATAAGCAAATATTTTTTGACTAAAGATTTATGACGCTCTTTATAGCCTTAAAACATCTGCAACATTTCAAAGCATTCTGGTTAGCAGATTAAAAATTAAATTTCAAAATGTTGTTTTATAATTTTGATTTTTTTTCCAAAAATCTGGACGTTTCGGGTGAAAAGTCGATTCAGAGTTGTAAACTACATGTGTAGGACTATGTTATTTTATACAATTGAAAACCCATTTACTATGTACAATTTTGAAGTGACGTCATCGCATTAGTGGTGAGGATGATTAGACAAATTTTGGTTAGCGTTTTACCATCCACATGATATTCTTAATATAAGTACAAAATTTCACAACAATCGGTCGAGTACTTTCGGAGATTATCTGTCTAATAAAAATCCGGGACAACAGACGGACAGACGGACAGACGGACGGACAGACGGACGGACAGACGGACAGACGGACAGACAGACGGAAATGGGAGACCTATTTCTTCGTCTTCTAGGGGTCATGAAAGATCGAGAAAACGTAAAAGTAGAGAGTCGGCCGACGGACTCGATTACAATACTTCCTTTGCTTACGCTCGTACACTTTGGAAATATCCTTCTATAATCCAGTCTTGCTGCAATAATGACAATTATGCTTGTTTACTCCACCATTAATTTTGCTTCATCGAAAAATTATGATGTTCTCTAAAAAAGTTGCAAAGGGCTAGTCTTGAAGAATGAGCTGTGGATTTCAGTTCTTGGAGCAATGTTAAATTCTAGAAATTAAATTTGTTTTCTTTCAATATTCCATGCACAGATGATTCACTAATACAATACCTGTTGTTTTGACAATTATTTTATCCTTTGGCTTTCATCTATTTCACTCACCGTCCTTATACTTATTATTCTTTCTCGCGGGTTTAAGAGGTGCCTAATTTTCTCTCAAATAAGTTTCCAGCGTTTTGAAAATCGTATCCTCTGGTGGTCTTCTATCCGAAAAACTTTCTTCATAAAGCTGAAAAACCATGAATTTGCCATAAATTAAAATCGCATCAGTTCCTTCATCGTCCGAAACTTGGTAAACGAGAGAACTTACATAATATTTTTGATAAATTGAAAAATAAATCTACGAAACCTGTAAAAATGTAGTTTGGGTTGCATCTTCGGCTTGATTGGGCTCATTATTGCTCGTGAATCATTCTGTGTAGGTAAGAAAGCATGTAATTGAGTTAGTAATGCTGGTTGCCTATCTACAGAAAATAGTTTGTGATTACAAATCTCTTTGATTTTTTTTAGACTTTAGAATACACCCTAGTTATCTTATTAGTGTTTTAAGAATTTAAAATAAATCAGCTTTAATTGATTTTAATCACATTTTGTTATATTACAATATTTTTATATCCAATCAGTTGGACCCAATTTCACATTTTAAGCAAACATAGCGTGTTTTATTCGGTAAAAAGTGACTTTTAGTGACGCATTTATAAGTCTAAACTACTAATCCTAGAGAGTCCTCACGAAATGTCTCACTTTTCCTCCTAACAGAATAATATACTATTTCGTGCACGTAACTGGCACATAAACATCTAATAAATACTTTGCGACAAACCAGTACATTTGATGTTTACGTATATATTTGAACGAAATCTTTCTTTCTATCAATCACTAATAAAAATCACTTATCTACATATAAAAAAGAAATGTCTTTACCGTTTTTCCAAAAAACATGCTAAAAAACATTTTTTGGCGTTTCGGCATCTAGTAAATGTTACATTTAAGCGAGAACAATTTCACTAAACGAACTTATTTTACTACAGAAACAAAATAATACAACTATATTTTCTTTTATAACAAATGTATTTGAAAAAAATACTCCTATTAATAATATCAGGTTTGTACCACTAGGATTAATTAGTTGGTAATCCTCGCTGGACATTCAAAACATATAAGATCTTTTCCATTTGGTTTTGTCAGTGCCCAGTGAACCACAATCTTCAGCTGTGAAAAAAAAAGATAAATTTAATTTAGTGGAAACACATTTGTTGATATTATAAATATTTACACGATATAAAATCAATTTGAAATGTTGTCTTAATGGTAATTTTGAAGAAAATTATCTGAATTGCTGTGGATTTTTCCATTTTTAATGACAAAAACAATAGCTAATTAATGTTACTGTTGTACTATTGTCAAAATATGATCACTGAAAATTCACTATAACTAACTCTAACAAATTTAAAAAATACATTTTGTGTTAATAAGATGCTAGAAGAAAGAATTACGTAACATTTGCCTATAATTAAGAAACTTTGTATTATTAATTATCCGGCAACTATTTAAATTTCCACACATTAAATTCAAAATTTGATAGATGATAGATGAAGGCCGGTCAGTTTTCTAACCTGTATCAATTATTTGTGTTTTATTTTACTACGCACAATAGTTATGTATGTGCATTCGTAATATTACGAATTATACATTTGTTTGTTTAATATACGTGATATCCTTTTATATTAGAATTTTTAGTTTGATTTGAACGTACGTTCATTATTCTTGTTGTATATATACAAGAATAATGAACGTTTGTTTTACACATATCATTTTATTCGTAATAATTAAATATCTTCTTATATTATAAATAAGATTTGTACTTAGTATTCGATGCATTATTACAACCTTTTCTCATAATAATTTCTCTCAGGTGTTTGATTTTGGTGTGATCATTAAAACCATAGTTTTCATGATGATATAAAAAAGTCGATATTTAAATTCAAAATTCAAAAATGATTTACATCTTACCCTTGGATAAATCTGGAGAACATCAATGTCGGTACTATAAAGATAATCTTGTCCTTTCTTAAGTGGACACCCTGCCGGATGATCTCTGTCTTTTATATAAATATTCTTACAAGCATCCGTTTGGTCATATCCAGGAAAAGGGAAAGGTACTCCGGAGATATAAGCCTGTATCGAATTTGTTAATTTTTCGACATCTTCGTCTAAAAAAGTTAAAATAATATTAAAAACACCAATAATACAGTATAAAAAAACTTTTTTTTAAGTTAACTAACGTACGACAAAAAGAAATGAGGAGATATTTTTAGAATAGAATCAAACTTTGTCCGCACAAACATAACAAATATACCTGTGTTGTAATTGATTTTATTAACAACTTATTGTTCTTCTTTTTATTTATATTTATCAGTAAAGTTTTCACTTATAAATAATAAAATAACAAGTACCTGCAGTGAAGTTCATTTCAACTCTAATGCTGGCGTTTTTTCTTAGTCTGCATGGTGGCTTCTTACAATTTCCCACTTTAACACGATCCGTTAAGCCAGGAATGGGTTCATCTACGAAATATTACACATTAAAGATATCAGTTTTCAACTTTTATTCTGTAAAAGTCGATAAGTAAATTATAGGGTATATAGAACTACCAGCGATATTAAAGAATCATTAACAATAAACTAAGAAATCAAACTCTATGGAACTGTCTATTAAAATATAATCCCAGCCGGAGACAGTTAAACGTGTACGCAAGCTGTTCACATTGACCTAAATTGTGATTAATTGAGGCAATACAAGTTAGTGAGTAATAATAATTTATTGCAAAATAGCTATTAACACACCTAGGATGTAAAGATTGCCATAACCACCGCAGCCGTCCATTTGAAATCCGAGCGTTAGCGAGGATTTTAATAAGACGGCTAAGGCGGGTATGGCACGTTTACATCCGTGGTGTGTTCAAGACTTTGTCGGTTTCTGCCCATTTTACTACAATAATCCAAAAATTAATTAAAAAATAAATACATTTGGTTCATCACGTTTGCATAATATATGTATTTCGGTGTCATAGTTACATTTTGCTGTTTATTCAAAAAAAATTTGTCAACAGAATTAAAAAAAAAATGGATTTAGGCGACGTAATGCCTATTAAATAAAACCGGTAAAGTTACTTACATTTATTGCTTTTCACATTCATTGCTTTTCAATTTCTTGACATATGTAGACAATTGACATTTCGGTAAGGTAATACAGGGTGTTATTGAAAGGTACGTACAACAAAATTGACAGTTATTCGCGAAGTCTAAGAAGTCTGAAAAACTTATTTTGTGTCATCAAAATTATAAGGGGAAAATTAACCCTTATCCAACCTTTTTAGACGCTACTGAAGGATAAATAGGTAAAATTAATTTATTTTAGTAAGTCCTAGCAACTGTAACAATAAAACTTTTGTCAAGAGTAAATATTGCTGTAAAAACGAAAGATGATCTTTTTATCAGAGGCGTACAACGAATTTGGCCACAAATTTTAATCATTTTTAGCTCTAAAAGGAGAACACTTTTATCTGAACTTTTTTTTACTTTTAGGACCCATACTTCGACACCAATTGCCGATTTTATTTTGTACGTACCTTTCAATAACACGCTGTATATGTATTACCCTACCGATTTTACATACAGAATACAGTTATAACTTTCCTACCAGCCAACTTTTATAAATGTAAACAGGCATTTAACAGACAGAAACCGGTAAAATCTTGTCAAGATGTAAATTTTACAACAAAAGAAAACGTTTAATAACGACAATGCAAAAAATATATAAAACAATGGATACAGTTGCAGTAAGTATTGTTTAAGAAAAAAAAATGTGGATGATATAGGTATATCAGTGTAAACTAAAATTTTATTTTTGTTTCCCTGTACTATTTTTTGTCGAAACTCATTTTGGTTGCTCTACTGCGAGATAAACCTGTATGAAATAGCAACAATATAATTTTAATGTTGCCTGTACGGGTTTTTAATGACATCATTAACTTTTTAGAGAGGACGAATATAATAATTTACACAACTAGTTCGGGACAGCCTGCTTCCCGCATGACCGCTTGTTAGCGGCACTACCGAAGGGAAGCAGGCTCACGAACGTCTTGTGTACAATATTTTTTGCAACGAATAAACCTTTAAACTGAAGAGATTAACTATGAGTTATTTATAAACAACGGCGTTGATAGCGCCGTAAACACGTCACAATTGACACTACCCGACTATGTTAAGGTTACCATAGCAACGGAAAGTTAAAATGCACCCTGGTCAACGCGCGAAAGTCATCAAAAATGGTCATGAGTGCAAAAAATTAATTCTAGTCACTGTTTATAATAATCACTAAATCAATTTTAGTGAGGAGCATATTGTACTAGAGAAGTCAAACGAAGTCGGTTTTGTAGTGTTTAAGTTACACTGTAAAATTTAAAACTACGTCATCGAATTTTTGTGGGGAGAATATATCAAGATCAATATGAAAAAGATAATAATGGTGATAATAAGAAAAGTTCAAAAAATAAAAGAACGGAACAAGATATTTAAAAATCTACACAATTTTAAATTATCCATACTTATTTCAGTTTAAGGATGCAGGAGTTACAATTTAAAAAAAAAATGTTACAAACTCCAGTGAATTACAATAAAGATGATTAGTGTAGAATTTTTCCTGGATAAAAATGAAAGAAAAAAAGTTCTTAACAGTGCTAACAGCGTACTTACTTTTTACGAAGTAAACCAACGAAAAGAAAACAGTTTCGTTCTTGAGTATAGTAATTTACTCACTCACTGCAAACAAGGAAAAATGCTGTTTCCTTTCTTGTTTTTGATGTCGTTACCAAACACGATGTTGTATTACATAACGGAATTCTCGATTATGCAAATACATATGTTAATTAGAAGAGAAAAAGTTGCGTTTAACGAGAGAAACCCAGCAAAAACATATAGGTATTGTAATTGAGATCGGAAGAGAGTACAATACCAAAAACGACGTTCTTGTATTTATCTTTTGTGTAACATTATAATGTATTAGCAATCCAAAAATCACAATCACAAAAAACAAGGCATAAAAATATGAAAACATAACTAACGAAAAAACGCAAAATTAATAAATTCGAAAATCGAAGATAATAACCAAAAAGTAAGTAAAACGAAGAAAAGGAAAAATAAATAACTAAAAGACTTATGGAAAATATAGAAAAACGCCGATGTCAAAACAGAAAAACAAGAAAACTGATACCAAAAACCTGGTGAAATTAAAATATGCAGAGAAACGAAAATGTTCCAAAAAGTACAATTTTTATATGCATTTTTTTTGCGAAAACTGATGACAAACCGCAAAAACACGTAATCAATGATAAAAAAAATACGAAAGTGCTTTCCTAAAAGTAAAGAGAATGTAATTCTGAAACAACCAACCAAAATTCAGGATCGAAGGTTTAATGAAATTGGCTAGCACTTTGGGAGATTTATTTTAAAAAGAAATTTTGGTTTGAAGGATTCGAATAAAGTAGTGTTCATAATTTCTAGGTTTTATAATAATCTTGCGGTTGTTCGTTGATCTTGAAATGACAAATATTTTTTGGACCATTATGATCACTTTCCAATTTGTCCACAAGTTTTTTCCTGCCGATTGTCAGTGTTTTTATTTTTCATTCATCCTGAAGACAATCATATGAAACGGATGAACATAACAGTAAAAGTTGCTAACAAAAAATTAAAATATTTATACATTTTTATTTAAAAATATTCAAGTAGGTCCACGAATTGTTAATTCTGGATGGTTCATACATATTATTTATAGCTAAAAAGTGAAATAGTCTTAAATGTTCTCCATAATGTTAAGTAATTATAACTAAATAACGGAAGTACCGCTTTAACTAAAATACTCTATTATGTATATATATGCAATACAAAAAAAAATGAAAATTAAACAAATATTTTTCGGAATTAGAAATGCATTTTAAAACTAAAAGATATAAAATATTCTTATAAAATTAAAGAAAACAAAACAACAATCAAAAAGAAACCAAAGTTCAGTACGTAACAATGAATTGCCCTGACGTTATATTCAGCTTTGTTTAACGGCACACATGTTATTAACACGAGTTAAAACAGAGAAGTTTATACTTTATAAAAAATATCACGTACTAAAAAGACACTAATGAATTTTAATGCAGGTTAGTGTTGCAACATTTTGGTCTCTCAACAGAACTAAAACAGAATCTAAAGCATAAAACAGCTGCAGTTTAATATAAACATTTTTATTTAATTTTTGTATTAAGCAATTTTTGACCTTAAGATTATATTTTGCCGTTTTCGAACAATGTAAGCAGAATTGTAACGCCCAGATGAAACATGCCTCCAAAAAATATCTTAAGGAAAATTTTTTTTTTTTTGCAACTGAAATGTAGTAAAGTAACACATTACATCGAGATTATGACTATAAAATTAAATTTAGGACGACTGCAACTGATAATCTCTGATGTAAATACAGCTTTAAATTATAGAACTTACAAAGGTTTAAAATAAGTATTTCAACTTTAACATTTCTGACAAGTTTTTAAAACAGATTGTTGGATTGACATTTTATGGATTAATTATACTAAGAATTTAATCGGTTTATACGAATTTATTTAATAATTATTATTAAACATAGCAACAGCTTACCTATATTATGACACTGTGACACATTGAGAGCGTAGGAAGACGAAATAGCACTAACAACTATTAAACAAATCAACGATTTAATCAGCATTTTTTTTAATGATTCGATTTATTTGTCACCTCACGTAGTATCCGAACCGCAGCAATTACACTACCGGACTTCGGAGTCTTGAGTTAGCCGCTCTTTAAAGAGTAACTTACTCCCACTTGTTTACTTGAATTTAAACCATTTCCGACTTCGCGCTATTTTTATTCTGTGCATGTGTACCTATTTTTTTCCAACAAGCTTGTTATTTATTTACGTGTATGCAAATTTAGTTTTTGGCCAAGACATAGAAGGTGAACAATAACTCGGTTGTTTGGGCTGAGGTTTCCGATCGCTATAAAATTATAAGTGCAAAGATGAAGGTTAACATAACATCACAAATACAATTTATTTTGTATGCATTTAACTAGGTAAATAAAACTGCTAAACACAACCAGTTAAATGTTCAGCTTCTTGCAGTATTTTTTAAATCCGTATTTTTGCTCCAGCTTATTTTGATGCAAAACTGTATTTTTGTTTAATAACTAACGGGCGGAATAATATCTCAGATGCTCGAGCCAGTGCTGCCGTTTCAGTAGTTTGATTACAAATATATTTTTCTTTTGAACTATATTAACGTAATAGAACATTTCAAGATCACAAATCTGTGGTCCTGTGGTTGAAAAATTAATAAGGGCACCGAGTATTATTATTTGAAGTAATATAGTAATATAGCAGTAGTTTTTTTACTAGTTATAAAGACTCCTAGAGACGCACTGGCTACGACCTTGTGAACCAGATCAAAGCGTCCCCGCTACTCGCCATAAAACATACCTTACTTCAACTGGGGGATTGCAGCCGTACGATAAATTTCCGCGCACTGTTAATAACACTGGTCGACAAAAAAAATATTTTTTTTTTGAGTCCTTATTTTAATCATTATTTTCTGATTCTCTATTCTTATTGAAAAATCAGGAAAAATTTTGTTTTCTTGTCGATAACTTTGCTTTTATAACTTTCACCGCAATAGAAAAATATTTAAGGTTTTGAGTAATAGAATAATTGCTTTAGTAAATAAGGCTAGGACAATTTCAATCATGTGATGTATAATTATTGTACGCGTGCGCGTGGTAGCCATACAATACATTTCATGTGACACCAAATACAAAAGTGTCTTCAAGACAAGCGCGGATACAAGATTTCATTTAAGAGTAGGCAATTTTTGTGCGATTTTACCTAAAGTTCTAAACACGATGCAGATACATTTTACTTCATAGGCGGAGAATTTATCAAAACAAGTAATGTGGGTTACAAAAGGAATACAAAAAAATATTCATTTCTGAACTAAGTACTCGTATTTTATATCTGCTTTTAAAGTTATTAGTTATTTTATTTCTCTTCTTTTTTTTTAATAAACGCGAGGAGGGTAGAATAAGAACGGAGGGAGCATGTCGTATGCTTTCAATGGTACGGTTTTGGCCCAAAATCAGCTACCGCAAACACCGTTTACGATCGATCTGTCGAGTGTGCGCATGTGCGAGCTGGCTACAAACTCGAGAAAAGCCCATCGTACTCCATGAGCGTACATCTTAGTTATTTTGTTCCATCACGTGCTGTGTATCTTTATACTTTGAGCCGTTTTGTTTTTAATAAATTCAACATGGTGAACTGCAAACTTTGTAAGTCGTGGAATGGTAGTAAACAATTTGTGAAAGAGAGACTTAGTTTTCATAAGTAAGTAATAAATGTATATAACTTGAGTAACTTTGCCCGCCACTGTTTAGCGATTCTCTCGAAACTGGGGGCGTGGTTTAGCCGAGCGCGTATTCCAAACACCGTCATAAACGGTGTCTAGATTTCGGACGGTCGGTGCCACATTTTTCGACCGTACTATCCCTCCGTTCTTATTCTACCCTCCTCGAATAAACGTGATCCATATTCATAAAAAAAGTTTTTTTTACATAGCTACAAACGCAAACTTTTTCTAATGAAACAATGTTTTCCTTATTTAGCAGTGTTGGAAGAATAAGAATCGGCTATACAGAACCCAGACTCAAAATTCATGTTGACCGGTGTAATTTATGTGATCATGCATTTTATATGTCTCAAGTTAGGATTTTCAATGTCATATTTTTTGAGATGTTTAACCAGTTTTGCTAGACTATTTTAAAGCAGTGTCATTAAATCACACCAGTCACAGCTGATTTGTTTACACCAGTTTTAAATAAAAAATATAATTGCCTCTCATACATTAAAAATAGCTGTTAATAAAATTTTGCAATTTTCTCCTATTTTCACTTCCCGTAATAAGTGTCTGTATCCAGGCAATTCAGTCGAAAACATTTTCAGTATATATATATCTATTAGCATTATATTAAATAAGTAATCATCGTTCCACTTAGTAGAGTCTTTGCATTACGTACGACAAAGTTCGTTTAACGTTAACCTTACGTCTTCCAAGACGGACGTATTAAATAGCGGGATTTACAATTGAGAGTTTTTGCAAAACGTCACGACTGTACGACGTACAGGAGCAACAACAAATGCAAAAGTAGGTTCATTTCACACAATTTTGTCGTATGTCAGACAGGTTTCATTGCGCAAGCAATAGAAAATACCTGCAATAGTGCATGTTTGAAAAGTTTGCAGTTTTGCTCCAAAATTTTCCTGACAAATCTTATTCAAAAAATGTTAATATTGATCCTAAGAATGGCTAAAAAAAACTTTTAACCCATCGCAGATTGAATACAACTAATTTTCTTAGTGCAACGGAAATAGACGGACATTTTACGTTAAATTATTATCCGTCCTCTAATTTAGAGGACGTAATTACGTCTTTTAAATAGCGTACGACAAGTCTAAAACACGCTGTTGCTAAGCGTTAGCGTATACGTCTTTTGAAAAAACGCTATGCAAAATCTCTCTAGATTACTGGTTTGAAACCTGTTCATTGCGTTAAAAGTTACTTAACATTCAAACACGGTAAACTTGTTCTTCTACGTTTTCAGTTTTGTGAAAATTTTCCCTTTGTAATTTGTAACGTTAAAAAATATTTATTTTCTTTTTATTTTTATTTTCTGCCCTATTATTGTGCGACCTATACCACTATAATAGAGGTTTCCACTATAAAACTCCACGGCCTTATATCTTGAGAATAGACAGGGACATTTTTTAAACGCCGTTGATTTTAGCTAAAGGGAGGAAACTTAATTTAGTACATTGCAATGACGATGCACACATAGCTCCAGCAGCAAAAAAATTGCACTAGTCCAAGCTTTTTGACGTAAAAAATTAACAGTGTTGCACAACTGTTTCCATGACAATATTTTTTTTGGGAATGCGATATTTCTTCATTTAGATAATAATTTATATTTTTACAGTTAAACAGTTAAATTAATACAACACATACAAGTGTTTTAGATAATCGTAACTTAATAATCCATCAAAATCCGTTGAAAATTTGAAATTTGAACAATTTGAAAAAAACATAAATTCGCGTCAAGCTACAAACAATGGCCTTTACAGAACTTCAATATATCTATCCATTCCCAAGATGTTAGTCCGCGGAATTTTATCTGTAACACCTGTATACGTTACTTTAACCGTCATTCACATTGCAATGAACAATTAAAACTACACTATTCAAGGTAAGAAAATAAAAATAATGATAAATATTGTTGATTAAAAAAAGAATTAAACACTACGTAGAAAACAGTAGGCCAAGGTAACGACATTAACGTGTGTCATTTCTACTTCCCCACTATCAATTAGAGAAGTATTGCAACAATGTAATGTTTAATTTAATCTAATGCTTTCTCGACGTTTCCCAAGTTGTAAAATACGAAAATGTTGGTCCCCCGTTTCTGTCTGATTAACGAAATTTTCGGTACAAATCTAATAATAAATCATTATTATTAGTCGATCACCAAACATCGTTTGAAATTTATTACTTCAGCTCTTAAAGTTAATGTTTGCTACAAAATATGCCTATGAATGTAATGTTCTGGCCCCGAAAAATATATATTTTTTTTATTGCACATACAAAACATTGAAAAAAATTAATACATTTTTTTGATTTGTAAACATGGTTTCATGTGTTTCCAGTATCCAAAAATGTGTTTTTAAATTATAAAAAGTTCATTTACTCCTTTCGCCTGACCTCGTCCTGAGATTAACAACATAAAAATTATGTTTATGGAACAAGATAAAATTTTCCAAGTTTCTTTGAAAAACAATTCGTCGGTTATTTTCTATTACTGTTGCGGTTATTTTTATATCGACGTTACAAATGTTAAATATAAAGCTTCTACAAAACGAATACGTAGAAACTTAAACGACTTTTCACAAATATTGTCGCTTCAAATCCGTGCACCATTTTACCTCAGTTTCCGCTACTAATTTTAAAACAAATATTTAATCAAACCAAACCCCTCGTAGTTTTATGAAAATCAAGTTCTTAAGTCTAAGTTGTTGGACAAAATTATTGCCATTATGACGTTAATACTCATTGAATGCACGAAAAATCTTCAAGGTTTACAGGCTCAGCAACAAACAGGACAACCGGAGTTGACATTGTATTAAATAAATGTGCACATCAAGTTGCTTCTTTTTTTTTTTGATACATATTATGTGAGAACTTCACCTTGAAACGTGGTCAAGTATAAAATACAACTACATTTTTTTGCAGAATGTAAGGACAGAAAGGTAAAATACTATCTACGTAAATATTATTCGATCAAATTTATTTTTCACAAAACAGAACACCAAAATTAACAAACATATTCTAGGAAGAAAAACTCTAATTAAAATAAAAAAAAACTGTACGTAAAGGTCAATGTCTTCAAAACTTAGTCATCTGCGCAAAAATGCAATGTCATTTTGTAATCATTTTAATAGGTAATCTTCAATAGCCACCTTCATGTAGTTCCCTACTTTACCAACTTCCACTGTATTGTACTCGAGGATAATTTCACTTCTTCACTTCGATCAAAACTCAATGTGTCTTTATTAACATACTCATCTGAAAATATTATCAGATAAACCGGAAAAACATTTTTATTCATATTACTGTCTCTCAAGGTTCATGTAAATAGGAAAAATCTCAATTTTAGGTACAGAAACATAAGTTCCGAGGTTATCCAGCTGATCAAACTGATCTAAAATAAATTTATGAACTAAGCTGGGTCTTGATAACAGAGCTAAATAATTGTCATTGGCAACTTAAAACGATTGAAATCTTCATATGTGAGTTTAATATAGAGTATCATGAAATATATGTCACCAGGATGCGCAAGTTTATCACACACTTCTCTTCACGGTATTACCTCACTTAGATCACCTAAATTTCGATTAAAATTGAGCCTTATTCTAAAACGTGATTCCATGCCATACATGTTCTTCTTCTGTACATCGCTAATATGATTTAAACCACACGAGTCTGCTGTTTGCAACTGAATCAAATAAAAAGTACATCTCCTACAGTCTGGTCCTGAAGACGTCAACCAGTTAGGCTGATTCATATAAAAACCATAACTCGCATTGCTTCATTCAAATTTTTGTCAAGCTCAGACTAGCTTTTTCTCTTCGCATTTCTTGCCGTGATAATTTTTACGGAGTTTCAAAGGAAAATTTTCGAAAAAAGCGCTAACACACAACGATTTACCTAAATGTATATATTTGCATGAACAGCTATTACAAATAAGTTATCCTTTCTGGGACACCCGTAAAATAATAAGGTAGTTTTAGTTACCCAACCATTTGGAAGTAAGCCATGAAACCCTTCCCTGTAAAGATTGGGAAACAAAATTGGTAAAATTGACCATTTTCCAAGCCATTCGATTTGGTTATGGCAAAAATTTCTTCTATCATCGTTTGAATTAATAAGAATACATTGCTAATATATTTCTAATTGGACGAGATGTTCATTCCCATTGTTAAGATTAACCATGAATTTCGCAAAAAGGCCACCCATTTTTCTGAACTGGTTCGATTTCCACATGTTTTTCAATCGACTGTTATTAGAAAATGGAAAACAATCAAGGTATCAACAGTTAGATTAGGTTAGTGGCATAAGTTCATCTTCATCATCATAATAAAGAGTATGGTAATTCTTTTAAATACTAAGCTACCATAAAGAGTGGTTGGGAGTAGTTGATTTATTAAAGATTTAAAAATGTCTTAGCTGCTGTTTAGATGCTTTTGAGAGTCCCTTTAGTTTAAATCTTTTTAAATCTATTGCCAAACTCATACAGTTCACTTTTAATTTTATTATCAATTTGAAATATGTGATCCCAGTATAAAACTAAAAATGATAAGAAAAAACCCAGTATGCGTGAACAAACAGAACCAACTAGCAGTGTTTGCGCCACTCCCAAAAATATGTATTTTGTATTCCAGGAATTTTAATTTTAATAATACAAAAAGGTTCAACGTTAAACAACATCTGATGAATATGAATCTTTTTCGACTTGACTTGGCAGTATTTTCAAAAGATTTTGGCTATGAAAAAAGTATGTGGCTTAACTATAGGTGAGATTCTCTACCTTCTTATTCATAGACGTCCTAAAGTAAAATGTCTTGAAATTTACAGTCGTAGTAGGTATGTACTTATATTTTTTGAACAAATGTCATATACATGTTTCTAGAATAAAATATGACATTTTAACGTGCACTTTGGTACAGATGACAGCAGATATGTTGAAAACTCACCTATTCGAATCTCATGAAAGTGTACGGAAATCTCAATGAGGTTATTGTCCCAACAATGTTCTCACGAATTTAGATGATAATCAAAATTAATATAGTACCTATATTAGTATAGAATCATTTAAATGTGAGTTGAAATATTGTATTTGAAACTCTTTACCCATGTGTCCAATATATATTCAGAAGATTAGGGATGAAAGTAATTACGACTATTATAATGTTGATGACAATAATGATATGGAATCACCAACAAAACGACCACGATATGCTGATAACAATATACAAATGGCCAAAGAGGTGTGCGATGTTACCGCATCAGCCAGTTTGTACCTGTTTCCATTTGTGCAGTATAAGTACTCCTCTCTTAGGAATTGTAGTAATTTATAGCTGCAATTTTATTTGCTTTACTGCACATATTGTCATAGACAAATCCTACATCCCTAATATAGATTGAATAAATGTATTCCAATAATAAAATTCCATTTAATTAATATCATTCATTTAATTAAAAGGGGGAATGAAATCAAGACAACAACGTAGAAATGTCATCATATTTCTGTAAAAATTTTACTCGTCTTTATCCTTCTTAATGCTATTCTCAGGTACTTCAAAGAATGGTCAAATAAGCTTAAGGTATTTAAAAGGTGCTCTATTGTGTGGGCCATAAATTACAGCTTAGCGCCTCAGCTAATATTTTGGGTTGCCTAACTTACCAAAATTTGCCCAAAATGCTTTGCAGTTTTTTTACAATAACTAAAAGAAGTAAAATTTTAACAGAAAACGAAGACTGGCGCCTAAAGTAGAAAAAAATTCTCTATCACCTCGATATTTTTTAAAAGCACACCGAGTTATAGTTTTCGCTAAAAATCCGCTGGGGTTTTACGCACTTTATTTTTTATTTTAAAAACTGCTACGTTTTTTAAAAAATACAAGACGCTTCCTTAAAGATTTTTATATCATGAGCACGCACATGTATCGCCCTGCTCTTCAACTGTTAAAATAAAGGCGCAAAATGGGTTGGCGTTTTGCCTTATTTTGGCATCTTTTAATGACTGTGTGGCGGAGCCTTAAGCAACTGACCTGGTGCTCTCCAGTTACGAAAAGAGGTTGTTTCATCTTTTTTGGATCAAATAAACTCATCATTTGTTAAAGATTTTAAATCTGATTACAATAACATCATGTTTATTCAATTTTAGTCACTTATTGAAGAGGCTGCTAAATTTTGGTTTGATAATGAATTACGCAGTTTAGCATCACTTTTCTGTTGAAGCATATGAAACGAAATATTTTTCAGCACAAAATTTTAGCTTTTAAAAAGTTACATTCAAAACAATTGTCATTGACAAAACAAAGATCAAGTGATCAATGTATATTAATTCTAATAACAAAACTCAAGCAGCTTCGAAATGAATCGAAAGAAATAAGTTAAGCCAAAAGACAACTGTATTCTGATAACAATTTGACAAATTGCCTAAAATTATTTTTAATTTACAAAACTGTCTTGAAACAACTGAGCAGTTGTAATATTAATTTGAAATTTGAAGTTACAGAAGTCAACTTTCTGGGCGTTCTGTTAATAATCTTAAAATTACTACAGCTAAAATGATTAAATCTCTCATGAATGTCTTAGTTGGACCAATAATAAAATTAATTAATAGGTACATAAAAGTATTGAAATTAGCCAGAGTAGTATCGATTCCTGAGAAACGAACTTCTTCCTATCCATCTAATTTTAGACCTGTTAAGTTCTTCCGATTATGAGCTTAGCCCATGTCAAATGATTGTTCTACGTCACTAGCAGTGAATTTATTGTGTAGAGAAATATCAAAAGTATTCAACAACATAATAATTTTGTATATTCGCATTTCCATGACGAGAGCGTTTGATTGCGTTTTGTATTATTAAAATTCTATGGGTTTTCAAAGGAAAGTGTATGTTTAATAAAATCATACTTAAAAAATAGAAAACAATATGTTTCAATTAATGGAAAATTTTCGAAAATTGCTTATATACAACATAGAGTGCTGCAAAGGTCACTATTAGGACCTCTCTTACATTTGATTTGCATCAATAACTTACGAAGGCGTTACAATGGCAAATTTATTCTATTTGCTGACGACACCACGTTGTTTACAGCAGCTGGTGAGGACATTTTTGAGTTAACAATCAGTACAATGGTGTTACATAAATATTTCCTCTTTAACATTCGCAATGTTATTAGTAAATTTCGGCATGGTTTTGTTAATGGTCGATCTTCTATTAGTAATTTGTGTACTCATTTTGCAGCTAATCCACTTGATGCTAAATTTCAGGTTGATATGTACATGTATTAATTCAAACTCGTTGACAAACTGAATTATAATATGCTCTTACCGAAATGGTTTAACTTGGTTTTTTCTGATTCTCTAATTAAATTTACAAATTATTATTTGTATAGTAGATTGCAATGTGTCAAATATCAAGGCCATGATGTGCCTTAAGGCTCTGTTCTGGTACCAGTGATGTTTATTATATAATATATAGATATATCGTTAAGGACATTATCAAATTTACCTCAAAATTTACAGAGAAATTTCATCAGCCGAAGATTATATGATTTTACAGAATGATCTTGATATTTTGATATTAGGAATTATATTTGACTCTAAGTAAGTTGACTTTTACGAATTATATTAATGGCATAATGTTCAAAGCCCCTACAATCATTTGGCTTTATTTTAAGATGTAGTAGGAATTTTAATGATTTTGATTGTTATATTGTATCACTTTTAAGTGAAAGTGGTGGAGTTAGGCCTTACTGTGAATTTATCATTCTACCCCCTCTAATTCTACGACATTAGAGTTCCACAAAAGCTTTATTGCAACTCAACTTGCGATAATTTTTACAAATACGTCACAGCGGGGTGTAGTTAAAGTAAAGACCAAACATTATTTCAATACGACACTTGACCTACCCACTCGTCTGTATGAAGTGCCACTACTTGAATTTATTGTATTTTATGAGTAATCCGCTGTAAAATATGTACCTACTTATTAAGTTCAAATCCTAAACGAACTTAAAACTTTCAGCATAATTTTTTACTCAAAACTGACTTCAATCTCAAAGATTTGAATTATATCAACACAAACGACTATAATACAGGACCTAACACCTGAATAAGTACGGTGTTAATAAAAATCTTTAAAAAAATTAACCTGTTTATCGGTGCAGAGCATAATATTCCAGTTTAATCCAGAAATTCTGTAATCACTGTAAGTCGTGCCCTCTGTTATCCAGAGACACAACATACACAACTTTCCATCAAAGAAAACTTCATCATTGTATGTTTAATATTTTTATTATTTTTCGTTAACATAATGAGATGTTGAGCGAGTAGAAGACTTAAAGGGTGATCGATTTACGGACTAACAATAGCTATATCAGCACACGATCTGAAAGTTTCTTGAGCTCCGCATCCCATCTTCTGGGTGCCGTCGCTGCACGTTCCCCACGAATTACCTGCACAAAACCACAAAATTACATTGAATTTAAAATAAGGGAAAGCAAAACGTACCGCTCTTGTAATGCCATCTCAAAACGCAGCGGTCGCATGTAAGTCCAGCAGGAAGTTGAACCTTGTTGTTAACAATGTAATCATCAGCTTGAACGCTGTAAGACGAAGAACCATCCGCAAGAGTCAAGTCGGTAAAGCACTCTTCAGTTTCAGGTAGCGAAGGATTCGACAAGACACACAAACTAACAAAAAGAAGAATATAATAAAGTTTTTAAAAATAAGTAAGTACAACTAACCTGTAAGTAAATGCACCAATGTGATTTGCAGTCAGAGTTATAGAAGTCGTGATTACGCTTCCAGAGGTATAAGTTCTAGATACGATTCCATTTCCAAATGTGCCGGTGTTTTCATTACTTCTTGGAACGGGACTAGCGTAGTTATCTCCACAGGCACCGCATTTTCCGTCATTGAGACCATATTGTGTCTGGAAAAAAAGTCGTTCATTAGGTAAATGAATTAGAAGTTTGTGCTCTATTTTTTCACTTAAAAAACATAATTGAAAATTAATCTATAAAAGTGTTGGTTGTTGTCAACTTAATCGTAAACTGCATCACCAAATTCAAAAGGACTTCAAAAGATATGTCAACTCAATAATGATATGCAATTTTGACGATCGAGCCCTGACAGCACGAATATCCTTCTTAAAAATAAATTCATTTCATAAGCCATATTTTTTTATTTTTGTCGAGAATAAAGTTTCATTTTTTATACTTTTTTACTGCAAAGTAATTTCCGTTTAGATTTAATTATTTTAAGATCACATCCGTGTGTAAATGTATTTCCTTTTCCGTTTCACTAATATTTTTATATAGATTACGAGTAAAAAATACGACATACACGGGTTTGTAAAACAACGTTGTCATAAAGCAATCGATAGTAATATAGTATATCGTAAACTAATAAATTCAAATCATTTTATCTAAGTACAACACTGTTATAAAAAACGTATTTTTTCCCTCTATAATACCTAAAATTGTTGTGAAATTCGTAATCCCATCAAACGTACATAAGGAGCAATAAATAAATTTTTTCTCAGATTAAAAAATCGACAATCACTAGTGACAGATTAACAACCGATCATTTAAAAAATCTTTGTTCGATATGCGTACAGATTCTTTAAACGAGTACACTCGTTTAAAAAAATTTGAAAAACTTGTACAACAAGATTTTTAAATTTACTATTATTTGAGATTCATAAATCGTAACGAAAATTTACTCAAAAGATATTTTAAAAAATAAAAAAAAATAAACCATTTTTACCACTAAGGGGCTATAAAAAAATGCGCCAACTACAATTTTAAACGTACCCAAAAACCTCCACAATTGAATGCATTGTCATCATAATCTGTAAGGGCTGCGGCATAAAATCGCCACAAGGAAGCCCTATTCGCAGGTTCCAGCATCATACCATGACCAGCAGCTTCTTTCAAAAAGGCAACAGCCAACACAAAAATAAAAACTTTCACTGCCATTTTCACTGAATTTTAAAATTGCAATTCGACACAGAAGGTCTCACTCGAATTAGCAATCAGTGCAAAAATGTTACTTATATACTTTTCCAGCATTTCGATAAGATAGTAGCCGTGTTTCTACATTGAATTGATCAAAAGTACCGAAACACGATTATTCCTTTGTAATGGTAATTTCCTATTCGATTAAGATTTTCAATCTTGCTAACTACGCCACTTTTCGCAGAAGAAACTCAAGTGGACCTACTTGAAACTTAATTAAAACGTTATTTCAAGTTCATTACTCCACTATCAATTCGATCAGGAAATTATCAATTTTGAAATCTGGTAACTGATTTGGAAAAAAGACATACCGTAACGCCCCCACAAAAAAACTCGTTATCGTTGTAATGTGCGGGTTGTCGCCAGTCAAACCTCCACAGAGAGCCTCTGTTGGGAGGATCCAACATCATACCATGGCCTGAGGCTTCTTCTAGGTAGGCGAAGACCACCAGAAGAAGGACAAATTTCACTGCCATTTTTTAAGCTTCTGATTTTACAGAACTCTAAGCACAACGACTGGGTTCTTGGAGTGGTGATTTTTAATTTATACCGATTTTAAGGGACGTTGTAATGATAAGATAGTCGAATATAAAATTAATAATATGTGCCGGAGGATTAGTAGATCATTTTCAAATTGCTGCAATTTAATTAGATCAAGGGAGCCGACGAAATCCGTGAAATTGTTTCTAGATGAATCCACAAAATGGAAGGAAAAAATAATAATAAAAGCATTTTTTAAAGTACGGAATATTACGAATTTGTATAGATTTTGTTATAGGAACCTCAGTGCAAGAGGTATAGTTCTGAATTTGTAGTGAAATGTGCATAGTTTTGAGAGAACTATAACCATTCAGTCAAAAATATAGGAGTAAAATAACAATGGATGCTAAAAGATCTAAATAGGTACACACAAACAAAATTCAATTTTTACTTCTCCAGTAAATTAAAGATGTATTATAACAGCATCCATCTCGCGAATTGCTACTTTCATTTTTTCTAGACGTTTCATAACCCTTAGAATACGAAAAAGTAGGTCTCGCGTTTCCATCTGTCGTCTGTGGGCCATTTATAAATGCGTGTTGATTTTTTATCGTAGGTACCCAGATTTTTGGATAAAAAATCAAAATAAATTGTATAACAACATTTTACAATTTAACTTTGTACTCGCAAAACCGAATATTCTGAAATCTTGCAAACATCTTAAGGTTTATTCCCTTCCAAACAATTGACTACCTAAACCAACTATCTAAAATATGCAAAATGTTATAAGTTTATACATGTGGTTTATCAATGCATACCTAATTATTGTTTACAACTGCTTATACACGGTGACTTAATAAAATTATGAATTAGACAATTTATTTTATTGATCAAATTAACAAATTTCAATCCCATTTTCTCGAAAATTTAAGTATACAGTTCTGTTATTAGTTTTACACTGCAACTATTCGCACATACCTATCTTTACCTTTACTTTAACACTGCACACTTATTTTTACTTTAACATATAGGGTTTGTTATAAAAAATTAAATTTGTAAATTAAATTTTTTTAATGTTTCAAAAAGGCTGGATATGTTGCAGTTCAGGGGTGAGGGAAGTTCTGTCTATATGACCTTACAATTCGTTAGAATCTCATAGAAGAACACCTGAATGTAAAAATAAAAATATAAAACATTATTGTTCCTTTTTTCCCTTTCAAGTACCTAAAAAAATGGGTTTTACACAGCCGTAATGCCCGGGACTAAAATTCCACTTCGCACAGTTGAGCATTTGTTGTTAAATTCTTCTCTGTTTAACCTACATTGTGAGAAAGAGCATCACTGAAAGGTGTTTAATTGCGTCTTTTTATCAGAACATTGAACCATTTTAACTTCATACTAATTGACTTTTGTCTTATTATCTCTAGTCCGTATTACAACCTGTTCGCACAGCGGCTTTTCACATTTATGAGTAAAGGTCAAAAGCTGAGAAGGGTGTGGCAAAAAAAATCTCAAAAATAATGGAATGCCGATGTTCCGAAACAGTGATAAAATAAGTCTAGGAAAAAATTCATTTGCTCTTTAATGCATCGATAGGCTAAAGTTTAGTATGCGATAACAATGAGCAGTTGTAATTGCTTTTTGATGTTTATTTAAATTTATTTGTTTGTGCAGTTATCTTTCACGTATCTGTCTGGTTGGTCATTTCAAAATGTACCTTGTAGTTGATTTATTATTTGTTTAAGACAAAATTCTTACTTATAAAAACATTTTGTATTCACGATTAAGAAGTGCCTTCAATGAAAATGTAAAAAAGTACGACTCGAGATAAGTCAGTGCTTCTGTTTCAGTAAAATGTGTGAGTTTTTAGATATCGCGATACAAGTTCATATACCAAGTGTTTAAAAAAATATTTATCTGTTATCTCATTGAAGGCTCTTCTAATTTTTCTGAAATTCCGGGAACACAACTATACTGTAACTGACGTTACAAAAAATACTTATCAAAATTAATTCATTTGTTCCCCCAAAAAAAGTTAATAACGCCATAGAAAAAGGTGTTCCCATTTATTTTCGCATTTCTAACATTTTCGTGATGCTGTATTACTTTGTTATCCATTGGAGTTTTGGTTTGTAATTAACTAATTAAACGCCTGTACATTTACACTGAAATTACTTGGGTTATTCAAACATTCAGTACATAGGTACGCACGCTAAACAAGTGTTCAATTAAACGTAAAAGTATGTAAAAAAATAGGCTTTGCAATACATAATAAATGTTTCGATGCTAATAATCATTTAACTAAAATTAGTAAAAGATTAATAAGTTCATAACACCGAGATATGACGAAACTCGTAACGTAACAGTTTTTCACATATGCTTTAATTTTCTACAAGATTTTCTGAATTTTTGGCCGCATTTTCCCTAATATTTTAAACGGTAAAATCAAAATAAAACTCGTTTAAGTTACCACTTTAGCATTACTACCTATATGTTGTATGCACTCTATTGAGATAACAAGTGAAAGAATAAATTGTATCAGTAACTACCTCTTGAAACTATTTTAACACTCTAAAATTAGATATTGCCGCACCTATATTGAAATATGTACCTAATAAAAAATTTATTGGTCTTTATGAAGCACTTTAAATAAACACTTGACTTATTTTTCACCTTTATTTAAATTTTGAAATTTTTTTTTCGCCCCGGTTTCCTTTGGCTTGTTTGAAATTCCACTATTCCATGTAGCAAGAATAGCTCAAAGTATGTATCCATTTGTTTTTTTCAACGCTAGACTAATTTTAGTCCCTGGTACTAAAGGTTTTAAAGAAGTCTACGTGCGAAAATGAAGTGGAACAAAGGTCGTATTCGAAAAATGCTTGGAAAACACTGATGTAGATTATTTGATAGTAATTTTATGAAGAGAGTTATTTATTACACAGCTGCATATGATCTCATGATTTTTATTTAAATGAAGTGTTTTTGATAGAAAACAAAGGAGTGGTTCAATCTTATCATTAGCTACTCTAAGTTTATAATATTAATGGGAACAATGTTATAAAGTCCACCCCTACATATTTAAATTTGGAGGCGGTTGTTATATTTTTCCATAAAATTTTCAAATTCTTAGTTCATAACAATTTTCACGTATTCAATTTTCGAAGTCGGTTCAGAGCCGCATCTGATAAAAACATTACCGTAAACGCATGGATGATACTTTATTATTCCGTCAAGATCTAATGTTTTTGGCTAAATAGATTCACGATTGTAAAAAATAAATAAAACCTACATGTTAGTCTTAATGCTAAGACCCAACAGAAGTACGGTAACAAATCTTCCAAATGCTTAATTTAATAAAAAGTAAAAACAAGACGAAAATAATTATGTGGCTCGTGTCTAAATGAGAAGGTCCAAATATAAACATACAATTTTTCAAAATGTAAAAAAAATTACCGCCATATAAAATAAGTTAGGATAAAATGTTTAAAAGCGAGCTGCTTTTTTCCGCTTGCATCGACATTGAAGTACGCAGTATTTTTAGCATAACTTTTTTCTAATCTATCTACGTAGGAACAGTTTTTAAGTGCTCTAGCACAATTTGAAAACGTGACGGAATAAATATAAGAAATTACACTGATATTAGAGATTTATAACATAAAATTCTTACTGATATTATCGTTCCTTTATTCCCTGCAAATCAAAATTCAAGTGGCTTACTAAATCATACAAAAATACACACAACAAGACTAATAATAATCTTGTAGATTTTTATCTCGATATAATCTAAATGACGTCGGTCAAGAAGAATCAAAATGGTTCAGAAAGATTACAAACCAGCTATAACATTTACAAAACACAGGACTCTCAACACTATGCTTTTAGTTTTGTCATGAAAGTTATTTTTAATTTTTTCTGGATAAGAATCTGTTACTCCAAAGAGTAGCCTCAATTTCAACACTTTCTTTGTAACTTTTACCTGTTAACAAAAAACCTTAACCGTTTCAGATGTTCTTCTGATAAAACACTAAACACCATTTTTTGTCACATTTTCTTTATTCTTCACATTTTTGATTAAAATTCAAAAGACTAGGATAGATAAATAAGGAAAAAGTTCTATACTCTCCTAAATTAAAACCTCTATTTTCATATTTGACATGGAAATTGTCCATATACAAAAGAAAAAAAAGGTCTGCAACAGGTTGAAACAAAAAGTAAACATCAAAGATTGTACACATTACTTATTTACTAAATGCAAAATAAAAACTTTGAACAAAAACATTTTTATGAAGGAAGATAAAACTGATGAATACATTGAAATAAAACGCAGTCAAGAAAAGGGGTTAATGAGTGAGAAATCAGTAGATTAACAATAAAATATACGTACAAAGTACTGTTGAAGAAAAGAAAATAATAGCATAGAAATCACACAGTGGAAAAAAATGGTCGAAGGTTATTTCGACAGAACGTCCCTCGCCTCTGAAATACAATCAAATAAATCCAGCTTTTTCGAAAAACTATAAAATTTGATTATGCGAACTTAATTT